CTCGCGATATTTTCTTTTTGAGGTAAATAAATGACTGAACATTTGATATTGAGCAAGCTGAGCATTTATGCATGTCATACGTAATTTAAATGTTACGCAAAGCCTTCTCGGTAAATAGATATGGCGAGTTTTATTTTGGGGTGTTGTTATGCTATTCGCCTGTCGAATGGGTTCGACATCAGATGCACGGGGATGGACACCTCTGTCGAATGGGTTCGACGTTAGCGTGCAGAGCTTTAAGGAACTCTTTTGTTTTGCGTTTAAAAAACATTTATTACAAACATTTTAAACTATTTATCATGTCCATTCCATAACATTCTTAGTCTATATAACATAAGTAGTTTCTGCTTTCCTGAACTTAGAATAAGCAATCGAAATGCATGTAAATCTATGCTTTTGTACTGTGTCCATAGTAACGGATTGGCGTGTTCGTAATGCTGACATTCACCCATCAAATACCTAGCCTTCTTTGTTCTCATTTATCCCTTATTTCCATGTATCTATTGGAAATAATACATGACACTGATCTCACTGTGAGAAAGAGGTACTGTGATACCTAGGGAAAAGCTGGTACAAGAACATGGTGTGTTTCTCCTGGTGGAGGGGGTGGGGGTGGGGGCGGGGGTGGCCCAGTCGTCTAAGGCGCCGCAATTCACTGTGCAGAGTTGCGTCCTTTGCGCATGCCAGAAACCTTTGATTGTGGGTTCGAATCCCAGTTCGCCCCGATAATGTTTCTAGGTTTGTCAGCCCCGTGCTGGTGGGTTTCACCGAAGTGGTAAACGTCTGAGTCCTGCATCACTTCGGGCTTTCCTCTCACATTAAGCTGACCCGCCGTGATATAACTGGAATACTGTTAAAAGCGGCATTAAACCCAACTCACTCACTCACTCACTCTCCTGGTGGATGCAGTACAGTCATATCATATGATACCCAGAAGCATAGGATACAACTGAAGGGTACTAATAAATATTGCCACGGAATATTCCCTTATCATTAGATAATAAAATTCAGTTTCTTTTTTTTCAATATGAGAATGTCACAAAATATAATCATCATCAGATAGTTAATACAGTGTATGCTTTAAAGAAATGGCTATTTTGTGTGAAAATATGTATATAATATTCAACATTTTCTAAGGACCAAAATTGTCATCTTTAGTCAAGGGTGTGGTCGTTAGCAAATGTTGAAGAGTATACACATTTTAACACAAAATAGCCATTTCTCTCAACCATACACTGTATTAACTTGAAGATGATACATTAATTATTTATTGAGTGGGCAGTGCTTTTCCAGGAGTATTATGACATTCTAGTACTTCAGAAATGTATACCTAATGGAAATGGAATATTGCTGAGTGCGGCGTTAAACAACAAACAAACAACAAACAAACCTAATGGAAAAGAGTTAGTGATCTTTATTTACAGGTCCTTGCTCTCTGCACCTATGATTCTGTCAGATTTACAAAGTTCAAGTTGTCAAGGGTCATACTGCTCATATATATGCTGAGTCAAGTTTAAAAAATCAAAATTGCAATAATCCTTGTTAGAATACTGTATTGTATGGCATAATAGCATCATTCGACATATCAATTTCCAGCTGTCATTACCATCATAGTTTCGTAGCAATTGACCGAAGTCATGACAATGATATTTATGTAATTGGAAAATATTGACAATTATTTGTTTTGACAATCTTTCACTTGTTTTTTGCTTACATTGTTGCTATTGTGTTATATTTCAGAATGTACTGTTTTGATTGACTTTGTAAAATATTATTTACCATAATTATTATAATTATTTGCACCCAGGATTTTTATCAAATCATCATCTAAAAGAGTTTGATGTACCATCTCAAACACAAGTTTATCCTATTTCAGTATTGTGGTAATAGGGGACGAGCGCTAATTGTGTTTATTACGGAAATCTGCAATTCTGAATCATTTTGGATTTTTAGTCCTTATTAAAACGGAGGACTCAGCAGATGTGTCAAGTGCCTCGTAGTATTAGTTTCCTGATCATATTACTCATGTGTCTCGTTACAGTAATTAGCATAATGTTGTTAAAATAATTCCTATTTACTGTTATTACATAGTCTATACATTTGCTTCAAAACTGACCTCATCTGATATTTGTGTCACACCAGTTCATGTTACCTTTGTGCTGGGCCCCTATTTTGGATAGGATGTTGGTGTTGACAATTATAGCATATATTGTTACCTTTTTCATGTTACTGGCACCCTGCTCCCATGCATCAGCCCTGAATATGGATGAGATACCTTAGTTTTTCTGACTTTACCAACAGCCATATACTAATGTGTTTCCATATATGGAATACAAAAATGATGACAAGGTTGTGCCATTATGTACAAGACACTTAAAAATCGTAGTATGTTACTTATACATGTTCAGGGCCCTTCTTAGTACTATACAAGCCCTAACTTTGGATGTTAAAACTCATGTGTGCCCATGCATCTATGGATGTTTTGTAATTCACTTATTTATAGTCGTGCACATGTTGTAGGTTCTCTCAGAGGTGGAGATAATCCTTTGTTCATCTGGGAAGGGGAGATAACTCCTTGTTTCCTTTGGAAGGGGAGGTAACTCCTTGTTTCTGAAGGAAGGGGAGATAATTCCTTGTTTCTCCAGGAAGGGGAGGTAACTCTTTTCTCTAGGAAGGGAGATAACTCCTCATCTTGGCAGCATCTCGATCACCCATTGTGTGATTACATCATTAAACCTTGTATAGAGTGTACTGTACATACACCAGATTCTGAATAGCATGAGTGTTGCCAGTCATTGCCCAACTTGATGAAGCTGATATGTTTCTGTGTACAAGCTAACATGTGACCTTAGTTGTCTTCTTATCTGTCCATCACAACTTAGGTGCCCATCCTCATTCAAAACAAAACATTATTCAATAAAATTTATTGAAAGTCTTTTATGTCATTTGTATATTTTCCATGTTATGATTGTTGCCTTGGATTACAATATCATGTAGATATCATTCAGACAAAGGTGAGTGGGTGAGTTTGTTTTTTTGCCGCTTTTAGAAATATTCCAGCAATATCACGGCCGGGAACACCAGAAATGGGCTTCACACATTGTACCCATGTTGGGAATCGAACCCGGGTCTTCAGCATGACGTGCTATCCCACTGAGATACCATGCTGCACTTTAACATGGACAGTATACTGACTCCGAGCCAACCAGTCCATGTTTTATCCCCTTAATGCCGAGCACCAGGCAGGGTAACAACAAGTATCTTCTTTAGGTATTGCGCAGCCGGGAATCGAGCAACTGACCTTCCGCTCTAGACCACGGAGTCGTTCATTCAGGCAAAGAGTGAGTGAGTATGGTATTACGCTGCTTTTAGCAATTTTCTAGCGAATTCCACGGGGGCTTTAGAAAAGGGGTTCACTCAGGCAAAGAAGGACAGCAAGGGATTAAACAAAATAATCTTGTTCCTGGAATAGTGATGATATGTATTTATTGCTGTACAGATAATTCAATAAACACATAACCAAATGGACATGATTCACAGAACAAATAAACACATGGACATAAATCCAAACAAGATTTTACTTTTGCCTAATTCAAGCTTTGATTCATCTGTATCAGAGATAGACTTGAGAGATTTTGATTTCTGACACTGATATACTTCAATAATTTCAGTCTCACTTCAATTATTGTCATTAAAAATATATGATACCCTGCAGTCATAAATAAATAACACTGACCACATGGACGCAACCTACATAAACCCAGATGCTAAAGACTCAATACAGTGGTTGATATCATGAGCAATGATTCACTGTCAGGGTACGATGACACACAATCAACCAAGTCACCAAGCCTGACCGTCTGATCCATTTGGTCGCCTTTTATGACCAGCAGAGGTTGCCGGGGACTTCTTCTGACCAGGAAATACATGTAGAACATGCAGGTCTTCAAGACAGAAAGTAACACTTCCCTCACTTCCATGTTTACACTGACAGCCATACAACAACCAGCTGTATCACGAAATAAAATAGTTCCTCGTTAGGCGAGGTGACATGAGCGTATGTATGCACAACTTGCTCTTCAGAAACATCTTACACAACACGTCTTCAAATAATATCACCATTAGATGAGAAAGGTTTGTTAAGAACTATGTCTGTAAGTCAGTCACAATGACAGCGTGTCAGAATACATTTACATCAAGTACAAGCCGCCAAAATGGCCGACAAGATAGACGTGATGGGAGAGATTTAGGAAGCTGTTTTTGAACTTGTGGTTACATGTTTTAGTCATCATTGATCAACTGGCTGATCATTGAAAGGTGATAAAAGATGTGTCAAATAGACACTAAGGTAAATTCATAGATTACTGTAGACTGTCACTGTCAGCCAAGACACAGATTGAGTCGATACTACGATAGTTTGGTTGTGTATTTCTTTGCTTTGTTCACTAGGATGGGTCGTAGCGAGGATATTTGTGAACGATCATGCAGTCAAACCCTCTGACGTTCTCTATGCATACTAAAAGTTCAAGATTAAAGGGTCTAAATGATCAGAAAGAATGCTTCTGTATGTATTCGTACTAGGGAATTCCCAGGGGTTCAGTGTCATTTCAAGAAAAACGTATGAACATCAAATTGTGTCGTTCATACACTTATGAACTTCAATTTCGCGGTCATGTGACCGACCTCTCGTCCAATGGAAAAGCTGTATATCGTGTAAACTTTAAATTAAAAAATTATTACCCAGTGAACACACCCATTACACTGGAGCAGTCCCCATTTTGTTATAATATTGAGTGAGCTAGTTTTATTCCTGCTTTGAACAGTATTCCAGTTACATAACGGTGTGTCAGCTTATGGGAGGAAAGCCCAAAGTGATGCAGGTGTTACACATTTACCACTTTGGTGAAACCTACGAGCACAGGTATGGTGCTGAAAATAATACCAAAATAAGAAAAAAATAGTCTCAAATAACTTTAAACAAGCAAACAAAGAAAAAATATCAACACACCCCACCCTCCTCCCCGCCCAAAAAAAGTTAAAAAAATAAATATGTGAAACATTGTTAAAAACAAATTGTATCGGTAAGTGTCGAGAGGTTTCTATACACTCAAAAAACATCAGGGAGAGAGGAAAATATTATTTTTTTTAATTCCTATTGGAACGGGACTGCTTCCAGTCTACACTGACATAACAGCAGAACTGATGTTCATAAATCTTCAAGAAGGTTAAGTACTGAGCCAGGTGCTGTGAGATCTATACTATTGCACTACTGTGGCTCTGCCGCCAAACAGCCATTATTGCAGTTATACAGACATAGACACATGGCATGTTATATCATTAAAAATTTAGGAGAAATGTTCATATATTGCCTGCCTATTTCAAAGAATTAAAGTAATTTCAGTGTTAGACTTTAACACAAGCCCTCTAGCTTGGGGTTAGCAAACATTTCTGTTTCACAATTTCCCCATTGTTTTAACATTACAAGGGCAATTCATCTTTACCCGGGCTAGTAAAGCTTTTGAGTTTAGTTCAAACCCCGAATTAATAAAATGCTCTGTATTAAAGAAGGACATTTGAAAAAATCCATCTTTGTTATACCAAGTCTGTTTTCTTTCAAAATTCTCTGTAACAAACTGTATAGAAGATTATAGACCGTATTGTTATATCTCCATTCCACCAAAGCTTCGTTGCAGAAGTGATGTCACAATCTCTATCTCATGTATCGCTAACCTTTCAAAGAATTTCTGTTGCTGATAGTGATCAGCTTGAATCAACAAAATGACTTGAAAACGAGACTTCAGCATAGATCTACATTCAAAATAGCAGGCTCAATCGAGCAAGCCCTTGATATATTTTAAATAAAGGATGATACTACTAATCAGAACTTTTAGCTGGAACAGATGTTTCCTTGAGAAAAAAGACAGGGATGGAAGTCCCTATGTTACAGTGGTCCCAGTTGGATTTGAGATGACACGGAATCCCACGAGTTGTGTACTAATGATACCGATCGTCACTTCACCTAGGGTGTTCGAGTAAGCTAGATCATGTAATTTAATTCGGTCATGACAGGATGGCTATTTTTGTCTTGTTTCTTTCAAACTGAACAAGGGTATTTATGTTAATGGAGTGGAGACATGAGGCCGTTAATTAATATATCTCACTTAATTCAATCAATTCAATATTAATCTGAGTAGGACCTAGCCGCTTCATATAGACCTGTTTATACAGTAAGTACACATTGTGTTTTTCAACACATACTCTTTCTGAAATTCTCCAAGTCTTCCGTGTACCCATTCTACAACTGTTCACACACAGAGTGAGATTAAGCACAAAGTTTCACAGTACACGCACAAGGACATTGGTCCATCAGGTTCTGAAATGTCAGCTACAGTTCCACTTAACAATCACATGCAGATGCTTATCAGTAATAAATTTATGGTGCCATTGTTGAGGTAGCTGAGACCTTTGTTAAAAGTCAAGACAATATGCTTTTGAATATCTTGCCCCATATTTCAAAGATTCTCAGTACTTCCCAAGTCATTCATGGTAAACAATTATAGAATTAAAAACACCAGGATTGGAACCTTAGTCTTCAGACACTGTACCACAGAACCGTCACAATCAAATTCACAGAGCTCCCAGTGGTTGTTTCTTGCAGTTAAACCTACAAGTCATCATTGGCAAATATTGCACCATGTTTGGTGGTTTGGTGTGTCTGTGTCAAGGAATGCATTCACTGACATCACTGTGGTAGGAGCTGTGGCATGGGATGGTGGTGCACTCAGTGTTGTCAGGGTGTACAGGATTATCACAGTGATGCTGGAGTGGTGGGGCCAGCCATCAGGACATCTCCATGCTTCCGGAGTCGTCATCACTTAGATCCCAGACCTGTGCATTGAAGAGCAAACATTCATGGTGTTGTGTTTAAACGTTTTTTATATTTGTTTTGTGTCAGTTTCTTGTTTCATTGCAGACCTATTTGACTATATGGCTACCAAACATGACTGACGACCCAAAACCTGAATAATTGTTGTCAGTCAAGTATATCCTCTCCAACATAAGGACACAAGCTTCTACAGTCATAATCGTAACCTGACAGACACATTGACGGTCAATGATTGACCTCTACCTTCTACAGATAAAGACCACTACAACAAGGACTGACCCTGACCTCATACAGGTGCTGATCTTAACCTCTTACGGGTACTGACCCTGACCTCTTAAAGGTGCTGATCATAACCTCTTACAGGTACTGACCCTGACCTCTTACAGGTACTGACCCTGACCTCTTACAGGTGCTGACCATGACCTCTTACAGGTACTGACCCTGACCTCTTACAGGTGCTGACCATGACCTCTTACAGGTGCTGATCTTAACCTCTTACAGGTACTGACCCTGACCTCTTACAGGTGCTGACCATGACCTCTTACAGGTGCTGATCTTAACCTCTTACAGGTACTGACCCTGACCTCTTACAGGTGCTGACCATGACCTCTTACAGGTACTGACCCTGACCTCTTACAGGTGCTGACCATGACCTCTTACAGGTGCTGATCTTAACCTCTTACAGGTACTGACCCTGACCTCTTACAGGTGCTGACCATGACCTCTTACAGGTGCTGATCTTAACCTCTTACAGGTACTGACCCTGACCTCTTACAGGTGCTGACCATGACCTCTTACAGGTGCTGATCTTAACCTCTTACAGGTACTGACCCTTTACCTCTTTCAGGTACTGACCATGACCTCTTACAGGTACTGACCCTGACCTCTTACTGGTGCTGACCTTGACCTCTTACAGGTGCTGACCTTGACCTCTTACAGGTACTGACCCTGATCTCTTACTGACATTGCCTTACTACATGTACTGATCTTGGCACAGTCACCAGATATCATCTGCCACTATAGACACCACCCTCTACTGCAGACAACCCTCTACTACAGATACTGACCTCGGCATCCAGTGTCTCCTGCTGCATCTGTGTGAGGCCAGTCAGGTCCTCCAGGTAGTTGGGCTCATTGAACGCCCGCAGCAGGAACTGGAAGCCTTCCTTCTTGTACGTCTCCAGCACCTGCAGCAACACACAGACTGTCATGCATCTAGACATTCTATAGATAACATTGCAACACTCAGCAAAGAAATTTTTCTAGCACTTCAGACTTCTCGTTTCTGACTAAAGTTTTGGCAAAGCACACTAGTGATTGGGTACATTCCGTATTATTCCAGCTATATGACAGCGGTCTGTAAATAATTGAGTCTGGACCAGACAATCCAGTGATTGACATCATGAGCATCGATCCACGCAATTGGGATACGATGAAATGCATGAACCAAATCAGTGAGCCGATCACCCGATCGCGTTCGTCGCCTCTTACGACAAATCCTACTTTACATCAGATACACAATGAATCAAGTTTTGCATTGTTACCTTCCCTCATCAGCTGGTCCCCACCCCAAGCATTAGGTACTGAGGACCTAAGACGTCCACACTAGCTGGGCCCTACTACTACACTGGGTACTGAGGACCTTAGACGTCCACACTAGCTGGCCCCTACTACTACACTGGGTACTGAGGACCTAAGACATCCGCACTAGCTGGGCCCTACTACTACACTGGGTACTGAGGACCTAAGACATCCACACTAGCTGGCCCCTACTACTACACTAGGTACTGAGGACCTAAGATGTTCACACTAGCTGGGCCCTACTACTACACTGGGTACTGAGGACCTAAGATGTCCACACTATCTAGGCCCTACTACTACGCTGGTTACTGAGGACCTAAGATGTCCACACTAGCTGGGCTCTACTACTACACTGGGTACTGAGGACCTAAGACACCCACACTAGCTGGCCCCTACTACTACACTGGGTACTGAGGACCTAAGATGTCCACACTAGCTGGGCCCTACTACTACACTGGGTACTGAGGACCTAAGACGTCCACACTAGCTGGGCCCTACTACTACACTGGGTACTGAGGACCTAAGACGTCCACACTAGCTGGCCCCTACTACTACACTGGGTACTGAGGACCTAAGACATCCACACTAGCTGGGCCCTACTACTACACTGGGTACTGAGGACCTAAGACATCCACACTAGCTGGCCCCTACTACTACACTGGGTACTGAGGACCTAAGACATCCACACTAGCTGGCCCTTACTACTACACTGGGTACTGAGGACCTAAGACGTCCACACTAGCTGGCCCCTACTACTACACTGGGTACTGAGGACCTAAGACATCCACACTAGCTGGGCCCTACCACTACACTGGGTACTGAGGACCTAAGACATCCACACTAGCTGGGCCCTACTACTACACTGGGTACTGAGGACCTAAGACATCCACACTAGCTGGCCCCTACTACTACACTGGGTACTGAGGACCTAAGACATCAACACTAGCTGGCCCCTACTACTACACTGGGTACTGAGGTTATGTAGAGACTCCCCATGGCTAGATGTGATGATTACACATAAAGACTCACCATGGTTGAGCAGGCAGTGCACTTGTCAAACGCCCGACTAGCAGGAAGAACATTGTGAAATCTGGACAGGAACCCACGTATCTGGAATAAAGGGGGAGTGATAGAGTGTTCACCTCAGCTGGTATTTCCAATACCTTGTCCACATCACTTCCGATGATACCTTGCAAGGCCTTTACAAGATATCCATGCTGCTTTGATCACTATTCAAGTTATATCCCGGCGAGTCAGCTTGATGTGTGAGGAAAGCCCAAAGTGATGCAGGTCTCAGACATTAAACTCTTTGGTGAAACCCACGAGCATGGCTATGGTGCTGGCAAACCTAGAAACCAGGATTCGAACCCAAGACCATAGGTTTCTCGCATGCCAGAGGGACGCAACTCTGCACAGCAAATTGCGGCACATTAGATTATATCTATATATATATTCACATCAAAATTATTTGTCAGTAAATAATGAAGTCCTGACATGACAATCCAGTGACTGACATTATGAACATTGATCTATGCAATTGGGATATGATGACCTGCATCAACCAATTCAGTGTGCCCGACCACCCGATCCCATTAGTCGCCTCTTATGACAAGCATGGGTTGCTGAAGACCAATTCCAACTCGGATCTTCATTGGGTGCTTGACATTCGGAGGTTATGGCATGCATCTGCTAGAACCCGAATCCTCCTACCTGATGAGGAACAAGTCCAAGAGAGCAGTCAGAATCTTTGAAGATGTCATCATTGTTGGTGGTGTCGGCAGGCGCCTCCGGTCTGGCAACAAGCAAAAGGAGAATTTGTTTTCAAACCATCTATCAGATACAGGGAAACCATACTCATTATTATTTGCAAGTTTGTTAACTATTCTGTACTGGGGTCAATAAATATATAAAATTACTAGACTCTCCGGGTGAAACTCACAAACTATTGATCATAAAGAAAATGTATAAATCCATCTTTAGTGTCTGGTTTGATTAACAATGTTGTATGATGGAGACAGCAGAGTAACCTACCCTTTAGAATGTTTTTTGATGGAGACAGAAGAGTTATCTACCCTTTAGGGTGTTGTAGGATGGGGACAGAAGAGTTACCTACCTTTTAGGATGTTGTAGGAGAGTTACCTACCCTTTAAAATGTTGTATGATGGAGACAAAGAGGTATCTACCCTTTAGGATGTTGTAGGATGGGGACAGAAGAGTTACATGCCCTTTAGGATGTTAAAGGATGGAGACAGAAGAGTTACCTACCCTTTAGGTTGTATGATGGAGACTGAAGAGTTACCTACCCTTTAGGATGTTGTAGGATGGAGACTGAAGAGTTACCTACCCTTTAGGATGTTGTAGGAGAGAAACCTACCCTTTAGGATGTTGTAGGATGGAGATAGAAGAGTTACCTATCCTTTAGAATGTTGTATGATGGAGACAGAAGAGTTACCTACCCTTTAGGATGTTGTAGGAGAGTAACCTACCCTTTAGGATGTTGTAGGAGAGTAACCTACCCTTTAGGATGCTGTAGGATGGAGACTGAAGAGTTACCTACCTTTAAGGATGTTGTAGGATGGAGATAGAAGAGAGTTCACTACCCTTTAGGATGCTGTAGGATGGAGACTGAAGAGTTACCTAGAATATTGTAGGATGGAGAAAGAAGAGTTACCTACCCTTTAGGATGTTGCAGGATAGACACCAGGAGCTCCACAGCCAGAGCACCTGCCATCATGGAGATACCGGGCCGTGTCACTGTACATTGCTGGTCAAGTGTTCGGTCCCTTGTTGACTGCACCCACAGCAAAGGAAATCACACATGCATCTATGTCTCAATCTCATTCACATATACAAAATCAACTTAATTTATTACTTGTTGTGTACAGTATGTTGTCATCGAGATCAATAATATACTAATCAAAAGACGTTAAAGAACACCCAATCCTTTCATTTTACTACAGTTACTATAGTATTATAGCTAAAAAAAATATTAGTCTTGGTTCTCAGGCACCGCCCGCATCATCATAAACTTTGTCGCATGTTTTGTTTTTATTTCCATTTTTTTTTTAAAAACACAAAAATCCTTAAGTATTAAGCCCAATGGTTGTCAAATACAGTATTCCAGTATTTTACTCATCAAGGAATTCATTTTTATAGGGAGGCCCTTTCCCAGGTTGATTGTACACAAAGTTTTATTTGGTTACACAGTTGTTTATTGGGTTACATACTAGTTTGAACACACACCCCCACCCCCCAAAAAACAATACAGAGTGCCCTCCTGCCCGCCCGCCCACACGCCCACCAGCACTATATTTTCCAAAGCCATTGCCTGAGAACCAATTCTTCTATTTTTTTAAGCCTATGAGAGAATCAGGTGTTCTTTAACTTCTTTTGAGAAGTATATTTGTAAATATTTCAAACATTTATTCACTGTTCCATAATGTCCAAAACTTGCATCCCTTTATTTATTTATAAACTATTAGGGGCAGGCAGTTCATGAGACATTATTTACTCACATTCCCTGGGGCTACAACATCATTGCAGAAGTAGCAGCCTAGCTGACATCCAGGGATGGTGGTCGTCATGGAGATGGGTCCCGGAGGTATTGCACTTTCAGCCGTCTTGTAACCATGACGAAGAACTAGGAATGTATCAAAACCTAGAGCTGCATTCATGACAATCTGAAACATGAAACAAACACTTGAATACTAAACATGAAAAACTTAGTCTCATCTTAGTGGTATGGAAGTGTACTTAACACTGAAGGCCACTACTTCAACCATACACATCATCAAAAGTGACGAGTGCTACGGTTATACTTGTCAAAGAGCTCATGTCAGCAAAACTAAAGTTAGCATGGAGAGGACGGCCTCCGTGGTCTAGTGGATAGAGTGTCTGCCTGGAGAGCAGTGGTTCCATTCCCTGGCTGCATCATACCAAAAGACTATAAAAGAAGGTACTTGTGTTGCCCTGACTGGCAGTCCGCATTAAGGGGCTAAAACAAGGACTGGTCGGGTCAGTCAGTATACTGTGTCTCAGTGGGGTATTCATGTTAAACTGTGGCATGGTATCACAGTGGGTAAGCACCATGAAACTAGCATGAGTTCATCTTTTAATGTCTTTTGGTATGAGACTGACGGGCATCGAATCCCTGATCTTCCTATCTCTGGGGAGACGAGACGCTCCATCCTCTAGACTAAGATTCGTGAAGCCATGACATACATATGTTACTTTAACTGAGAGCACAAAAAAGAGTCATTTGGAGATGACATATTCCCCACCCACCCTTACTTATACCCCTCTTTTGGTTTCATGCCATTGGATATGTTCAGTTCAGTGAAGAAAAAAATGATGTTGTTCGGTAGTTTTCAAAATCCCAAATCATCTCAAGGCACCAGTTCACCGCTAGACTGATCTGTATAGCATGTTTCATACAGTAATTTTGAACGGTTTTGGAGTTCTGCTCTGGAGTGAGTGAGTGGGTGAGTGGGTGGGTGGGTGGCTGAGTGAAGTGAGTGAGTGAGTGAGTGGGTGGGTGGGTGGGTGGGTGAGTTGGTGGGTGGGTGGGTGGCTGAGTGAAGTGAGTGAGTGAGTGAGTGAGTGAGTGAGTGAGCGAGTGGGGTTTAACGCTGGTTTGAACAGTATTCCAGTACTATCACAGCATGTCTGCTTAATGCTTAGTGATGAAGGTCTTAGACAATACCAAAACATCCAAAGGCACCAGTTCACCACTAGACTGATCTATATAGCATGTTTCAACAAGAAAAAGTGAACTGTTTTGGAGTTCTGCTCCAGAAACAGAAGACACCATGTTTACATCATGAAACAACATGAAAACAAAACAAAATAAAAAGAATAAAAATCCCAACTAACATTCTGCTCCAGAGCTGGACAAACTGGGGAATAAAAAGGATCCATATCCATCAAATACAAATTTTGTGATTTGGAAAATAGGTATAAGAAAATGGCCAAGTGTCGACCAACTGGTTTACCAGGAAGATGACCATGAAAAGTCAAATGTCCCACTGTCAGTAGGATATTGGATGTACAATGCCATATCAGAGTTCCACAAAACACCCTCATGTTAGGTCTCAAGGTTCATGCACCTAGCCATTTTGGTCAGTGTTCCCTACCTTCTGCTTGACCCCTCCGAGGACGGTGGGCAGCCAGCGGCTCTCCCTGGTGTCCATCAACAGGAACAACACGTCATGACTCTCCACCAACTTCTCCAACGTCTCCACGTCCTGCCGAACACTCTCCAGGGAACTCTCTGTCGTAAACAGGAGACATGTACATGAATGTTTTTTACAACCTTTTGTATTCTTTCAAAGAGACACTCTAGTGCAGATACTAGTATAAGGGTAACGCTATTTTTCAGGGCATTATCATTTGCAGAAGCCTGAGGTCTTCCATTAACTGCCCGACGAAGGAGGGCAGTTGAAAAGACCGAGGGCTTCTGCAAATGATAATGCCCTGAAAAATAGCGTTACCGTTATTAAAGCTAAAATGAATGGAATTTGTTATCAAATAAAAAGAAACAACAATATCGGTTTTCAAACATTTTCTGCAATCAACACGAATGTCACTGACTCACTTTTACAAATATGGAAAAGTCATAGAACAAACCAGATGACGTCACTACTGAACGTGATGTCACCTATCCCTATCCTATGACGTCACCTAACAATGGGCGTGATAATGGCCCATCGTCCAGAAATATGAGGGCATTATCAATTTACAGTGGCCCGCTCATTTTTGATAACATATGGGTGGTTTAATGATAATTCTATCCATTTTAGCTATAATACCTTATAACCCCTATTAATAAAATGACCCCACTTTTTTTTGTCACCAATGGGCCAAAAGATCCGTCCATCTTGGGAACTAGATGGAACACTGTAATCTGATCCAGTATCCACACATGACCATTGCACCAGAATCTCTATGACTGATATCCTCAACAACCACAGAGGCCAATATTCAGCAAAGTCTGCAGCAAAGGACACCAAATATTCCCAATTTGAAAAAAAATCCCAATTCCTAAAAAATAAGAACATAAAAAAGTCTAATTTGGGACAATATCAATTTTTTTACCATTTTGCCTACCAATGGCACTTTGTTTGGAGTCCTTGATAAATCCCTGGATGATTGTGTTTGTGACACATTGCTACAACACAACCGACCACATGATTACGCCAACATTTGTTGTCATTGGTAAGCAGATAGGAGTTGACATGCAATATCTGTACTAAACTAACGGTACAATTCTTGTGTCCTTTTCACTAATTTTGAGGCTCAAACACATTTCAGCATCAAAGTTGAGAATAGCAAATCCCTGTCATGAGTGAGTGAGTGAGTGAGTGAGTGAGTGAGTGAGTGAGAGTTGAGTTGAGTTAACGCTGCTTTGGACAACCAGTTCCAGTTACATCACAGCATGTCTGCTTAATGTGAGATGAATGCCAGAAGTGATGCAGGTCTTAGATGTTACCAAGAGCATGGGTAAGAATCTGAAAAACCTAGAAACACAATCGGGATCTAACTATGTCACAGGTTTCTGGTGTGCCCAAGGGATGCAACTCTGCAAAGTAAATTGTGGCGTCATAGATGACTGGGCCACCTGTGCCCCGAACTGTCATGAACCCATCACGTTCAAGGTTGTTGCACTTATATGGCAAGAGATTGCACATGTGCGTGGCTGTTTGTACTAGTCCGGACTAATGCTGGTTTTATGGAACCAGCCCACAGTTTAACATGAACAGCCCACTCAGATACAGTACTGCCTCCGAGCCGACCAGTCTTTGTTTTAACCCCTTAATGCCAAGGACCATGCAGGTATCATCAAATATAATCTTTCAGCATCTTTCGTTTCGAACCGGCCACCAGGCAGACACACTATCTACTAGAATCACGGAGGTGGTGTTAAATGAAGCACTGACCTGACACCGAGTGCCCTGGCATGGGGATGGACAATGTCAAGCCTGTGGTCTCCTGAAACAGATTGATCAGGGCATTATTTTGGAGATAACATAATGTGTTTTCAGATTTTAAAATTTCCCAATTCATGTTAATAACTAACTTTATGGCTTTGTAGACCTGGTAGGGATAACCTGTATTTCATAGAAAACATGACCAATAAATACAAGGAGGTTTTGCTTAGTCTTATGCAATCTGAAAGTACGATTTTAAAATACCTCTGAACACAAGAAAATACTCTGTATCAAAGATTGTTTTCAGTTTGCCTGCTTGAGACACTTTGTCGAGAATTCTGAACTTCAAATTGTTAATAATTCCTCTTGTAGATTGGATTTCATCATTATCTTTTTTCACCACTGTTTTATTAGGGGCATGTGTGGGCCAGTTGTCTGTGAATTTATCGGCAGAGTTAAAACTCAACTCACACATACACAGCATCATATTTGACACAAACTCATGATATAGTATGATATCTTTACCGCTAACTCTCCCCACAGGGAACACATTTAACAACAAAGAGACGTTTTTATGATTATACAGTTACTCACAGCTCCAGGGAATATCTTCCGGAGAGATTCAGCAGCAGCCTGAGCCTTGGGCTTGCCTCCATTCAGGCAATCTTCAAACGTGAACAGCGACTGTCGGACTGGGTTGGAGTAGGATATTCGGGAGTTGTCTACAAAAGTAATCTTCCTGATGCCCCAACCCTGTAAGAACAACAATCTTTTACTTTACATTTCACTTTCCGTTGACCAAAAAAATATTAAAAAGTGTCAGCAACCATAACCATGAACAAAATGTTTAGGCAAGGAAAGACAATTGTGACATTCATATAATTCACTCTACATTCAATGAATTCAAAAGTGTGGTGTGGTGTGGTGTGGTGTGGTGTGGTGTGGTGTGGTGCGGTGTGGTGTGGTGTGGTGTGGTGTGGTGTGGTGTGGTGTGGTGTGGTGTGGTGTGGTGTGGTGTGGTATGCGATACTCAGCAATGTTGCAACTACATGACAGTGTTCTGTAAATAATTGAGTCTGAACCAGGCAATCCAGTGATCAAAATAATGACTAAACATCCACTACGTCAGGGTCATTCAGACGCCATCGCCCAACCATTATATCGCCTCTTACCACCAGCATTGGTTGCTGGGGACCTATTCTACCCCGGAATCCCTACTGGGCAACTCAAAATTCATCTACCACCCTTAAGAAAATTTGATAAACTGTATGGTGAAGAGAAAAGATTGGCATTATCTAATTTTACTTCACTTGGAAGTGGTCAATGTGGTGTACTGACCATGAGACCTCGGGCAACATTACATCCCAGAGTTCCAGACCCAAGCAGCAGGACTTTAGTGGAGGATATCTTCTCAAGGTCAAGGTCAGGGAGCAGACGCCATCTCATCAGCCTCAAGTTCAAGTCCACGGCTGACTCTGCTAGCCTTAACACAGATGATGTCCAATGTTCACATACATTTATCACAGAAGAAAAGAAGATGCAACAAGCAGCATATAATTGAACCACCCGTTCCACTGGTGTTGACAGGGCAAGGCAAATAATAGGGCAAATCTGGGCTTCGAACCCACGACAAGCAGATCTTTGTATCTAAGGGACACAACTCTGCATCAGCAGACTACATTGCCTAAGATAACCCATGTCCTGTTTCCATCTTGACATCTAGGCCAAAATGACCAGTCTTCCATATGTTCATATTGTTTTTAATCCACAGAAGTGAGTGAGTGATTTTTTTATTGCAGCAGTTACTTTGTTGAATATGACACAAAGAAGATTCCACAATATGTTCACTGTACAATACATTGACTGCACAATATGTTGACAGTACAATACATGTATTATACAATAAGTGCACTATACAATATGTCCTTACTTGGTCGGGTCCATGCTAGATGACAGGTTCACCATCCGGGGACCTAGTTTTTGCCTCTCGTTCTTCTCCCAACCCACACACTTCGGACACTCTGGAAAGAAACATAACACTTGACACAAAGCATGACAAACACAAAATATTTTCAAACTATAAAAGTTTATGGTTTTAAAAACTCCTCACTTGAGAATTGTAACTACTGACCTGACTGGGCAGACAGCGAGGTGAGGGTGATGCTGAGGATGAGGCTGTGGCTGATCTCACGCACGCCGTCACGAGTCCGATCACGGAGACACAACACCTCGATCTCACCCAACTTGTCTCCCCTGAATCAACACAAATAAGCGGACATATGTATGTTTACACTATTATATCATCTCAAATAACTGTTCATACTTTGAAATATTTGACTTGTGATTCTACAAGCTAGAGTAATTTGAGCAATGTTAGAGACACCATTACTGGGATCATACAAATACATTTGCAGCTTAATGAAACTTTAGGAAGGAATGTTGATTATACTGCAATGACCAACTGACGGCAACCAGATATAAATCAGACCAGACCTCCCTGAGAAATCTCTATAGACACTATTACTTGGATCACATATAAATTTGCAGCTTCAAAAAAAATAATTTTCTGAAAGGATGTTGGTTATACTGCATTGAAACTGATAGCAACCAGATATAAAATCCGACCAGACCTCTCAGGGAAATCTCTAGAGAAACCATTGCTCGGTCATATACCCTAAATTTCAAAGAATGAAGTTACTTTCAAAACTTCAAAACTGAGTAAGATTTAGTGAGGTGGGTTGACTGACCTTATTTTAGTTATACACAGTGTGCCTGTTTAATGTGGGAGGTGTGCCCAAAGTGATGCAGTCTCATATGTTTTACTTATGGCAAAACCCAAAAGCATGGGCATGATCCAGACAAAGCAAGAAACATAGCCACAGTGAAATGGGATTTTGATTGTTGCTTTGATTAAAGCCACACTCAGCAATATTCCAGCTATATGACGCGGGCCTGTAAATAATCGAGTCAGGACCCGACAATCTAGTGAATATTGTGAGCAGTGATCCACGCCAGGAGGGTACAATCAGCAGTAGTAACCAACAGTTTTATTCCACTAGTCCTTATAATGATAACAAATAGCAAAACCTTTAAAAATGGCTAACTTCTACCAGTCCTTATGATACCTTAACCATTTGGCAGTTTAGCAAGGACTATAGGACTAGTGCCAATTTCTAACGCTGACAATGTCACGCAATCAACAAAGGTACTGAGTCTGACCACTCTATTCAATAAGTCGCCTGTTACTACCAGCATATGTTGCTGGGAACATATTCTAACTTGATATTATTTATTATTTGTATCGGGGACTCAATCTCTGATCAGTGGATCCTGGCAAAACAAAGGATGTAAATCCAGCACATTAGTATCATCACTACTCTGGGATTCAAACCCCAGCATATCCTACACAGCACAGCTAACTCGGTGACCAACACCGGCAGGTCCACCGAGCCCACCATAGAAGAGCATAAGAGCATGTCTTGCCGCCACCATGCGGTTGGTCTCACCATCTATGAGCGATGAGAGTAAGGAAGTTGCGTAGTGGCCAGCCGGGATGCTTGTCCAGGGAGCAGGGATCACAGAATCCAAACATCACCTTGCCCTGGAACACAGACAAACAACTCCATGTACCGGGATACGAAGAGGATGCATACCAATTTAGATATGCTTATCTAATTTTCTTTCTTCACTGGAGTTTGTTTCAATTATTGGCAAAAACTGAAGAGAATCGTAACCACCTTTTCCACCAAGACCCCAAAATCTTAACATTTCACCATGCATTTCCTGACCTTGACCTAATCAGTAGAGGATGTGGCCTGTAACCACGACAACTTCTTACGATCCATCAATTACCAAGTCTCTACACTGTCTAGTAAATAACTGGATTTCATGTGGTAGGATTTTACATATACTTACAAACAAAAGTATCATGCTGGTAGTTAACAATGCCTCTAAAACTCCATTATCAGAAATCACAATTATTTGCAAAAAAAACAAAAGATGACCTTGACCTTTGTCTAATCATGACCAAGAAATTTCCAAACCAGGGCCTTATCCCTTCATAAACTAAGATAAAGGTATTGATATTTCTTGATAAAGAGTAACCAAATACTTTTAGTGCAATTTTCCACCTCATGACCTTAACTGATGACCTTCTTGTGACATGTGCCAAAAGAAATCCTCTGGACCACTTGGAAGAAGTCCATGGAAGAAATGTCTCTGATATCAATGATTTTTTAGGAGTAGGGAAAATCACTGATAACAGGTTGGAGGTTGAGAAACATTATCTGGTGTTAGCAAGGATAAGCAAGATCGGGGTTGATTGATAAGTTGTCAGTCTCACATAGAAGAAATTATGTAATTGATGAAATCTTTTGGTGTGGACATAACATGATGTCATAGAGGTATATCCACAAAAAAATGAGTCAACTGAGCAAATTGTTTTGCCATGTCTAGTCCGTAAAAAAAGCAGGGATCTGGTGAAACCCACGAGCACGGGTATGGTGCTGACAAACCTAGAAACATAATCGGGGCGAACCAGGATTTAAACTGATGATCATAGGTATCTGGCATGCCAAAGGGGCACAACTCTGCACAGCAAAATGTGTTGCCTTAGACGACTGGGCCATCCATGTCCCCCGGACAAACTTGAGGAACGTGTACTGACTAAGTACTTGCACATTGTTGTGTGGACACAGGCTGGAAAAGGTGAACCCAGGTTTCATCCATAGAACTTATCATTCAACCCTCATGCATGAAATCTCACACTGAATTCACTTCCTTACCTTGTCGGGGGCACGGTTGGCACTAAGGCGCTATGCAGAGTTGCGTCCCTTGGGCACCCCAGAAACCTATGATCGTGGGTTCGAATCCCGGTTCGCCCCAAATAAGTTTCTAGTTTTGTCAGCACCATGACCCGCTCATGGGTTTTCACCGAAGTGGTAGACGTCTTAGACCTGCATCACTTCGGGCTTTCCTCCCACATTAAGCTCACACGCCGTGATATAACTGGAATACTGTTAAAAGCGGCATTAAACCAAACTCACTCCCTCCTTACCTTGTCCTTATCAGTGACATCGAGTGTTTTCAGTTCCTGTACAAGTACAGCATCCCCTGCCTCCCTAACTGTGAAGAACCCTTCAAAACAGTCTCTACCGGCTTGGAAGGCGTCGTACGAGGCCAGGAAAGACTTCACCTGTAAAGCAAACATACACCCTGTACACAGAAACAGTCCAGCTTGTTACACCACAAACATGCTCCACTCTTACTAAATTTGACACCTGTGTCTGAAATAGCTGAAAAATGCATCTTAGTCAGTAAAAATCATTTGTCAATGAAGATTAAAATGACTAGTCAAAGAAGGCAAGGGAGTTAAATGACTTTAATAGTCCAGTTTCCACCCTTGCCGAACTAGGCTGGAATTCCTGGGCTCGACCGTAGCGCCACCAGTGGTCATTACGAGTTATGCCCCTTCTAAGCCTCTCCTATAGACTAATCAGATTCCACCTTTCGTATCACTTGCATTTGTTTCAAACAAAATGGTGGCGCCCAGTCAAGACGATCTGATCCATAATCAAGTCTATATATTGTGATCAAACGGGTCTTGCATAGCGAAGTGCATCAAATCACGTGAGCACCTTGATTAAAAACATGAAAAGACTTGGAAAATGCGTGTTGAAGGTGCACATGCTTTGCAAATCCTGCAATCGACCGAAATCTGAACGACATTTTACGAACCAGATTTCGATTTCGGTGCGCAATTTTTATTGGACTATGCATAGACTCGTTAGTCCAGCCAAAATGTAACTCCATAATACCAGCCTAGTTCCGCAAGGGTGGAAACTGGACTTTTATAGTCAGTTAACTCACTTGCCTCGGGGAGATGAGTCAAAGTTGGTTCTCTGTACCTTGAATAATAGCCTTCAAACAAAGAATAGTGCTGTTTGTTGTCCCATCATATTTTATGCATATGAAAGTGTGTAGCATAGCTACTTTATAAACAACATGAAATGGTAAGACCTATGTAATCCTTATCCCTTTGCTTCATGTTGATGACAATTTCTGTAATGTCAAATTCAAATATTGTACATCTCTAAAGTTTCTTTGGTTCTTTTAACATGAGACGATTAGACCAGATTGTCAGATCAAGTGATTGACATTATGAACAACGTCCCTCGTCGAAACTATGATGACACGCATTCAACCAAGTCACAGAACATGATCATCCGATCCACTTAGTCTTCTTGTACGACAAGCCCTGGTTATTTTACGGACCTATTCTAACCAGGAATCCCGACTGGGAACAATTCTAGTACCAGTTCAGGTGAGAACCTGCTATCCAGAGCCTGGGGTGCGGAAGCCACGGTGTTTTCTGGAGCTGTCAGACAGGGGAAGGCAAACCAGTAGTAGTAGTTGTACTTCTTCAGATCCTGAAAACATGCAGTACATAACCATTACTGATGCATTATTGGGGTAACAAAACAACATCTTTACTGGCACCACCTGCACCAACAAAAACACATATCGTTGTCAACTTCTTGCACTAGATTCCCAGCAGAATCATACTCAAAGCACATAAGGCTTAAAAAAAGAAAAGAATTGGTTCTCAGGAAATGGCTTTTAATAAATCTAGTGCGGATGGGAGGTGGGGGAGTGTGTTGAAGCTAGTATGCAACTAAATTTTGTTAACAAAATTTCAGTATAATCATGTTGTTCTTAAGTATTGTTGTATTTCACTGAGGGGGTTGTGTGTTTAAAATCAGAATATTTATGTAAAGATTTTTTTTGGGGGGTGGAGGGCGCGGGGAATGGAAATTAAAACGAAACGTGCGGCGGACTTCATGATGATGCCTTAGATCCATGACTTTTAGCCTAATACTACTCTGTTAATGGATCAATCTGTGTATGCATCTCTGTGCCAAGGAAACAGCACATATCATACGGCTTGTGATTCAGAGTGGGGCAGGAAAAGGGATTGAGAAACTCTCTGGAAGTAAACTCTCCACCACCACTGATGCCTTACTTTGCCTACTTGTGACATTTGCAGTCTACATGGGACCACCACCACCACCACCACCACCACCATCATCATCATCATCATCATCATCATCATCATCATCATTACTTACATCATCATCATCATCATCATCATTACTTACAGCATGAGTGAGGAGAAGAAATCTAGACAGCAGTGAAGGATCATCTACGGCTCTGCCACTAATAATGTCATCCCAGATCTGAAATACATCAACAATAATATACTGATATGAGTTATAACACATGGTTCATATAGATCTTGAGCTTCCAAATTTAAGGCATAAGCCCTTTTCAAGGCAATAATCATACTATTCAAAGCAAACAGTAAGACCCAATCAAGCTTTTCTTTGTCAGGACAAGCATACTTTATTTCATAGTCAGGATAGCTGTATCTCTAGTGTTATTCATCAATCATGTTCCAGCAGGGTGCAATTTCATCTTTGTTTCTCCACTGCACATGGTGAAAACTGCAGTTAACAACTAACTGCACAAACGATACATTGGCTGCACTTTACCAGAACATTAAACATGTATATCGCTGTGACTGGCACTCTGTAGTGTACACAAACACATGTAGTCTGGTACATGAATGCAAACATGAACATCATGCGAAATGATAGTTGTTTCATTTTAATCTTTTAAAAACTTAAACATGGTATAAATTTGAAGCAAGGATATTTATTCGCCTGTTTGTGGAATATTTTATCGATTGGACTTGGCAGTCTGCTAATAAGCTTAGGCAGCACAAACAGATTTAACATGTTTAACCTGCACCAGTGCAGTCTTGTCAGGGGGAAATCACACCCTGTACAGACTAATCATTTCCTAAATCATGTCATCCTGCATTACTAGAGAAAAAAATAACTCTATTTATTTATTTAACAGGCAACCAAATTTAAGGCCTATATTAAACACTGAAATGTGATGCCTTACCAGGCTAGACTGCCAAGTTCAAGGCCGTTTCAAACCTGTGTGAATCTTGCACATGTTATATTGGTAAGAATAATTTTAATAATTATCAAAACTAAAAGAGACTTTACAGAACTAATACTTGAGTAATTGCAGGAGTCCTACAATGAAACATACCTGCTTTCCTGCAGTTTCAAGTAACTCTTTCTTGTCACATTCCTTGAATCTTTCCAGTGTATTTGTGTTCTGGATCGACCCCTTGCTTGCAAGACATCTTGGTGGGGTCTTCCATTCACTAGAAAGAATGTATACATAATAATCACCTGATCTTCATTATAACTAGCAAGGGGTGCCAGAGACCTTTATTCTTACCCCTGAATAACAAGCATTTATCCTGTCATAGTAAACAACAACAAACATTTTGGGAGACCTACAAAAAAAAAATGATTTTCAATTTCTACTTTAATCAATCTGTGAAGTCAATGAAGCATTCATACAATACCAGGATTTGCCTGCAAGAGGAAGATGGACACCATTCCATTACCTATATATATATTTTTTTTATAGCTGAGGGATTTCAATACAATGAGTGAGTGAGTGAGTTGCGTTAACGCTGCTTTTAACAGTATTCCAGTTATATCACGGCATGTCAGCTTAATGTGGGAGGAAAGCCCGAAGTGATGCAGGTCTCAGACGTTTACCTCTTCGGTGAAACCCACGAGCACGGGTATGGTGCTGACAAACCTAGAAACATAATTGGGGCGAACCGGGATTCGAAACCCACAATCGTAGGTTTCTGGCGTTCCCAAGGGACGTAACTCTGCACAGCGAATCGCAGCGCCTTAGACGACTGGGCCACCCGTGCCCCCGATTTCAATACAAGACTAAATAATATATACATATATACACTTGAATATAATGACATCTGTGACATGAGTCAGTTGACATATTGTATACCTGTCAAAAGCGGTGAAGTCAACTGACAATCGAGGAACCATCCCTGCCGGATCCCCTGAAACATAACCCATGTAACTATACTTTGTTACTGTTGTCATAGCACAAAATTCTCACTTTTCTGTAGCAGACCATGTTTATACATTGCTATGGTTTTATATTTTTGCTATGCTATCATGACACCAGTCTGAAGCAACGTACCTTGATGTACTACACCAAAACATGGACTATCTGTGTAGTACACATTTACTAGCACCTTAATCATTTACTGCCACAGAAGATTACAGTCACTGTGAAAATATCGGTACAGTTTATAGATGGCAACCTATACCTATAGTGACAAGATGGCAATTTGAAGCCTCTTTTGACTTGACTTGCGTTATCTACTTGCCAAGTGCAGTTTGGATACCTAGCTGAAAAAGAAGAATTCCTGCCAGCTTTCCAACACTATTCCTTATTCAAGAACAGAGATAGACCTGTTTCACGACATTTGACAGTGACAAAATTCTGAATGACAGTGAGTGCACTTACATTACATATGTCTAGGGTCTGTAACTAACTGTTGCCAATACCACTTATTTGACCCATTGTATAGCCATTTTTATTGTAAACATAAAATTGTGTTTTGCAACATAATTTATTGATTATTTATTTATCTTCTTTGGTCACTTACTGACTTCCCAATTTAGGCCTCGTTCTGTACGAACTGATTTCTGGGATATCCTCTGTGTTTGTATTTGGAAATAATCTCTTAATAATGTATACTTCACGTTGTATTATTAAGAATGATCATGATGATAGAGACTTATTAATATATTATCAAATAATGACGTGATCATTCTCTTCTTTGCGAACAAGTGCGTTATATCATAGCACACTCTATCACTTACCATTGAAGTAAAATCCATTAATCGTTTTGGGTGCTTCGTCTAAACCATACACATTCAGCTTGTTCTCTGACAGCCTTTGCCAAAACCCGGCATCAAGGGAGCTGCTGAAAGGGGCGAATTGAAGCGAACTTCCACCTGACATTGCCGGATCGGAAATCACGTACTGCTGTGAACTGTTCAATCCGTTCGTTAATGCCGACGTGAAGAGAGGGGTGTCATCGGTTAGTCTCACCGTCACATGCAAACATAAACTTCCGCATTGCGGCACAGATGGTTTATTGAAATGTGATTGGATAATAATATGTTCTTCCTTATAAAGGTACCGCAGTATCGAAATTACTTTCATATGATTGGTTATTATTACATGTCTTTACTTGTAAGCGGTCTTTCCAAAACCAAAACAGGCGAGATAGACAGAGGCCAGCTGTGGCAGTGATGCAAATCAAGAACATGGAATAGCAACGTACCCTCAAAGTGATTGTACACATTAATCTGAATTGCTAACTGGTACTTTAGCCTACAACATTAGACAAGATTATTTCATAAACTGGTATGCACTCAAATGACTTGATTGTGTCTTGGTAATTACAGAGACATTATCGGTATATATATATGGTCTCTTGTAATTCGTTGCTGTATGCAGGTTATGACTTTCTTCAAATATTTAGTTTCTTGGCTGATTTTAGCCTCAACACAAGTAATTCATAGGGTTCTGAAGAGTTATTCCTGTGTCTCCGCCAACTGACATGATGCTTCGTCCATATTAAAACTTGGTAATATTGTAAATATCCTTGTCTATAAATAGCTGTTATTCAATTTCAGTAGGCCTGTTCATCATTGACATATTGTGCATGAAGTATATATAATGACATATGACTATCTACTTTCCAGGAGTTTCCACCAGTTATTTATTAAGACAGTTCTTGTTCAATGTAAAGTGTATGTTTAATAATCTACATGTTATCATTAACATACCTACACTGATATAGACACTATTGAAATGAAAAGACAAAGCAATCTGGGGCTTACATCAATGTGTTACCTCCTTTAGATTAATCATGGTATGAACACAAATTGATTATACTAATTTTAGGCATTAATGTACATACCTTCACACGAAGTAAATTATTGGTTGGCTTCACCCAATTTCTGTATCAGGTGTATAACATGAAATAGCATAGGCTTCTCATTTTCAGTAAGGAGTAGCAGTCTACTGGGGAACGGACTTGCAAGTCAGCAAAGACAAACAATTTGAAGGTAGACAGACAGCTGTAAAACAGCGACTCCTTATCCAAAAGACTGAGTATCATTATACGACATGCATCAACCTATCAGAAAATACAGTCTGTTGAGGATAAGGTCAAAATTCCGTTTTGGAGCATTTTCAGAACTAACCTCTCTTTTTTTTATAGCTAAGGGTGAAGAACAAGTTGAAGAACAGACATTAATTAACCAATTTATATTAAACCAGAAAACTTAGAAATGTCCCTCAAGTTTTTCATCCGTGGTAACATAAAGTATTCTGACACTATGTTTGAGCAACAAGAAGCACTTCTGACAAATAGAACATCATTCAGTGCATCTCTGTGTCACGATACTTGTAATTCTTACGAATACAGAACCCCTATTACATCAGTGCCAGAAGACCAGTATTTATGGTGTCATCTCACTATAAAGTCTTTCGATTTACAAGTCCTCTTCACTGTTGACTATCCGTAACCGGTTGACGTACTAATAGTATCTCCCTTCCTAAACCATATAGACCTCTGTGTAATGATTCATCAAAAGCAGGTGCGCCTCCTTGGTGTAGTGGTAGAGCGTCCGCCCGGAGTGCTGAAGGTCCAGGGTTCGATCCCCGGCCGCGTCATACCAAAAGACGTTAAAAGATGGTACTTGTTGTTACCCTGTCTGGCGCTTGGCATTAAGGGGCTAAAACAAGGACTGGTCGGCTAGGAGTCAGTATACTGTGTCTGTGTGGGGTATTCATGTTAAACTGCGGCATGGTATCTCAATGTGCTAGCACTATAAATCGGCATCAGTCCGGACTAGTACAAGCAGCCACACACACACGTGCATGCACGTCGCTATATAAGTGCAACAATCTTGGACGCGACGTTAAACCCCATGTCACCTCACCTCATCAAAAGCATGGTGCATTCGTTGCAATATTCTGCGCCAGGGTCGTGAGGTTGTATTGTGAGGTCATGTATCTATACAAGGGATACAAGTATACATAAAAATGACATGTAAAATTGTTTGAACATTAACTGCAAACAGAGACCTTAAAATAGATCTAGTGAATGGTCTCTGCTGTAAAATACTCTTTTCTGTTGGTATGTACAAGAGGTTTGACCCTACTTTGTCATTGATTAACTGAGATCTACTAGATTTGTTTTGGGTGAGCTTCTATACATTCCCTCTGATAACATCTTCCCGAGGCAAGTGAGTTAACTGACTATAAAAGTCCAGTTTCCACTGGACTTACTAGGCTTGTACTATGGAGTTACATTTTGGCTGGACTAACGAGTCTATGCATAGTCCAATCAAAATTGTGCACCGAAATCGAAATCCGGTTCGTAAAGTGTCATGCAGATTTCGGTCGACTGCAGCATTTGCAAAACATGTGCACCGCTAACTCGTTGTCAACAGATATTTTCCAAATCTATTTATGTTTTTAATCAGGGTGCTCACGGGATTTGATGCACTTCGCGATGTAAGACTTGTTTTATCACAATATAGAACTGGGCGCCACCGTTTTGTTTGAAGCAAATGCAAGTGATACGAGAGGTTGAATCTGATTGGTCAGTAGGAGAGGCATAGAAAGGACATAACTCGCAATATAGCCACTGGTGGCGCTACGATCGAGCCCAGTAATTCCAGCCTAGTTCGGCAATGGTGGAAACTGGACTTTTAAAGTCAGTTAACTCTCTTGCCTCGGGAAGATGTCTGATAATGGAATATGTCCTAACAAGTTGCCGTATTTCATAGATTGCATCATGTATGTAAAATGACAAGAACAAGTTGTACATGATATTGTAGTTCTTGAAGAATACATTAATAATTTACCATACATTTTCATTTAAGGACTCAGAAGCTTATTGTTTTAAAATAGGGCTGGCTAAAAAGATCTATAATCGGAATTATCGTCGATGGGAAGAACTGTCAACAATTTTCAATATGAAATTGTCATCGATAACAACTGTGATGAAATAAAGTGTAAATTATCTGAAACAGACTTGTTATTGTCAATAATATCAAATATCGAGGACCGAAAGACTGAACTGTTTTTGTTATATCCAATAAAACAATGTATGTATAAATGTGTCTCTGCTCACCAGTGGCGTGAAATATGTTGATTCCTTTCGGGACTTTCTCATGTTTCTCATGTTTGCTTACAGTTACTTCTCCGATACTTATCGATAATTGATCAATATTTAGTTAGCGATTATCGATCCTATAATGTATATCGATAGCCAGCCCTATTTTCAGATGACTAATGTAATCAATTTGTGATGTCTTGAACAATGAACATGTCATATTTTTCACAACAATGAAGCACTGTGACGTCATGTGGCTTCAGTTGATCATTCGGCATTGAGAATCGCTAATATGCACATGTGCAAATATCGGAAAGTTATTACATGTGACAATTCTTCCCTTATGGGTAATATTCTATAGTTATTATCATGTAACATCTATTGGTTACTGTGATATTTTTTGTTTTCTCATCATCAGATTGGCAGACTCACCTTCCCTTAAAGTGAGTTCTCAGAGAAGAAGATGGATGGCACTGTTGTGTTTAATTGTTTGTTTTTCATCTTCATTGACTGTGGCTTGACCAGTGGTCAGCTTGACGTGGACAAATCAAGATATGATGATGGTCGCAGAGAATATGAACTCATGGTCCACAGGTCAGAAATGCCAAGATACGGTACATGCTGGAAAGATGCCATGATGACGATACAAAATGGCTGCAAGCAGCTCACAGACGATGTCCAGGGTCGGCTATCCTTGGCCTATCTCAACTGTTTTCTGGAATTTCAAGGTCGAGATGTGTACGAGTGTGACGCCGATCAACCATTTCATGAATGTGCAAAAAATATGCTTGATGTGGACCGAGGATCATTTACGACTTTTTTCACACACACTCAAAATATATGCTATTTTCTTCAGGCACAAGTATGGCATGAAGAAACGGAGAACACAATTGGTCGACTTTCTGACAGTTCATCACAGGTAGCATCGAAACTAGAAGATTCCTATAAGCTACAGAATCAAGTTCTCAAACAACAAGAAGAGAGTATAAAAAATCAAGAAATGATCATGGATAAGGCTTCAAATTTAAGTAACATTATTTCCGCCTCATCTGACGATATTCATGTAATGTTCGCAGACTTCAAAGAGACAACGCAAGAACAGCGGTTGCTCATCACTGATGTGTTTGACCGTGTAGCCAAGTTACAGCACATGGTTCTAGGAGAATTTTCCGGCTTTTATTCGATAGTGTTTTATACCCTGTCGATTCTGGTGTCATATCTGTTGACGTCAACTGCTAGGACGAGCAGTGCGAGGTTCTGGTTGTTTGGTCTGATGACAAGCAATATGATAGTAGAGCAGATGATTGTCTCCATCAGACCTGGCTTTTTTAGATATATACCATTTCAAGACTTTGAGAACGAGGAGGTATGTGCTTGAGAACGAGGTTTGTGCTTGAAAACGAGGATGTATGTGCTTGAGAATGAGGAGTATGTGCTTGAGAATTAGGAGGTATGTGCTTGAGAAAAAGGATGCATGTGCTTGAGAATGAGGAGGCATGTGCTGAGCTGTCTGTATCAAATACACCATCTTCCTAAGACAAGGGAGTTAACTGACTATAAAAGTCCAGTTTCCATCCTTGCCGAAGTAGGCTGGAATTTCTGAGTTATTTTTGGGCTGGACTAAAGAGTACATGCATATTCGAATCAAAGTCATGTAACCTATTTTTTTCAAAATCTTTTCATCTTTTAATCAACTTGCTCAAGTGATTTGATGCTCTTTGCAAGGTAAGACGTTTTTATCACAATATAGATCTTGATCAATTATCAAATCGTCTTGATTGGTGCTGTCATTTTGTCTTGAGCAAATGCAAGTGATATGATAGGTGCTGATTGGTCAGTAGGAGGGACATAAAAGGGACGTAACATGTAATCAGCTGGTAATAGCCACTAGTCGTGCTACGATGAAGCCACGAAATTCAAGCATAGTTCATCAAGGGTGGAAACTGGACTTTTATAGTCAGCTACCTCCCTTGTCTCGGGAAGATGAAAATACACAAATAAAATCACTAATATGTATTTATCTTGAGTTGCATGTGTACAAATATGCTTGAAAAGATTCAAAATTGGAATAGTATAATAGCACTGTGCATAAGTACCCAATGTCAACTTCACACTGAGGTGTGCCAGTATTCCTAACTGATATTTGTTCATAGAATGAATTCAGCGATGACACATGATCTGCAGTGAGTAATGCACACAGGTCAGTGTTCCCCCTGGCTTTAGAAACTGCCAGTCCCAGTGGACTGACAACTCTAAAAATTACCATTTCTCCCAAATTGTCAATCACATCAAATAAAAAAACATGGGCTGGTTTAATTCTTTCAACATCTTGTTCAATGCAGTGTATGTTCATGACAGACAAGATCAATGACGTCGTCTCTGAAGTAACTTGGTTAGATCTGCATGTCATTCACACAATTTTCTTTCATTTTTGTGTGAAATATTTCACTTTGGTTCAAGACTAAGTCGCTACAAATAGATACTTAACCTCAAAGCAAAGAAATGTTATTTCATTGGACTAAAAATAGACAACGTGAAAGCCTGATGATAAAAGACAAGCTGACTTTGTTTGAAAAAATATACTCCATTTATTAACGCCGATGTTTTGTTCAACAACCAAGATTTATAAAGTACTTTATTTGCCAGTCATCAGGGACTGACAGTCACATGAATCACAGACCCAAGCCTAATTTTACTGGTAAAAACCTGGTAATTACCGGTAAGCGAGAACACTGAAAGGTGCTACTGCATTGTGACCTAGATATATATCCCAGTTGTGACTGTCATGTTTTGGGTCACATGCGAAATTTAAGCTGACAATTCCATTCTTCAAATGGTGCCAAAATGTCGCACCATTTCACTATGCAAAGAAAGAAACACCAAGTGTGGCATTTTAATTTGACAGAACGTAGTCATGATAATTGATCACTTTTTTTTTCCTTTTTCACTTAAAATCACACAATAGACTGGATGCAAAGGACTTTTGAGGAGTGAATCATGTTGAATTCAGCTGAACGTTTGTTCTATTCCAATATACCCTTATTGTTTAGGAGTGTGAGGAAATCATGTGATATGCTAGTAAGCTGCATTAATATTCAATTTTCCAGGAGATGATATATGGCAGCCAGCGTCTAGTTCGGCGGGTTTCTGGTCTTATTGGGTTCTTCATCCTCTGCTTCTCCGTCTACAACTTCCAGGACCTGAACACCATCAACAACCAACTTCTAGTGGAGATCCGGAGACAGAACTCGGAACTCAGGCACTGTCTCATGGGAACAACCTCAGGTAAACCGTTACAAGGTGCATACAGGTTTTAAAAGGCCTTGAGTTTTAAGGCCCCACTGATTTTTAGTATCAACCTTAAAAAGCCTTGAAAATCATCATATTGGCTTTTATTAAAAGGCCTTGAAAATCATCATATTGGCTTAAAAAGCCCTGAAAATCATCATATTGGCTTAAAAAGCCTTGAATTTGTACAAAATGACATAGACAGTCAAGTCCCGTTTATCCAACATAGGTGGTTGCCTTTGATTATGTCGGATTAACAAGTATGTCGGATAAACAAAATTAAGTAGTATCAACGTTCGTGATCGAAAATCTGACATCTACACGATAGATAAGGTACAAACACGTAATAAAAGGATGAAAGTTGAAATATTCATATTGCTATATTACATTGTTAGCAGAATATGTTAACTAAACATGCAACCTCTAAAGCAACAGCTGTTACGGACTGTATGACTTATTCAAAATACTTTAAATGGCATAGTCTTGAATGGAAGTTGCCAGTTTGAAACTGGTACCTCAAGGCTTAAGAAAGCTGCTATCTTAGTGGCTAACGTTGACTTCCTGTTAGTCATTTCATTGATTGGTCATAGTTTGTGAAAGGTTGTTCTGACGTGACCTGTAATGGGATGTCCTTGGCGCTAGGGAGAACTTGTATCTGATTTTAATGCGATTTAGGTAATCTAAGTATGTGATTAATCCTGTTTTCTTTATTGATAGCATTAATTGTTTATTGTTCTGCAAGCTATCTCTGCAGCCGTTGTAATATGCAGCTACAAGCCGACTCATCCCGCATCAAAAAGGCAGATGACAGGCAGATGACCACAGATTATGCTGATCACTGTGTCTGATTAACGAGACTGATTAATGAGTGATTTCAGTAATTCGCTGCAAATTAGGTGTGTCGGAGTCAGAGTGCGAGACTGTCGGATTAACTGGTCTAAATAGCACTGATTTAATTGGTTCCCATCATTAGTGTCAGATAAAGGCAATTGTCGAATTAAAGAGTGTTGGATTAACGAGACTTGATTGTACTTGTTTATGAAAGTATTAAAATTTATGACATATATATTTTAATAATTGGTTGTGAAAATAAGTCTTGTACTAAAATTTGTGATGATTGTTCTGCTTCTTAGGTCTTACAACTAATAATTACGAGTAGTATGCTTGATTTAAAACAAATATTTAAAGACTAAGGCTAATAATCAAGCGAAAAAAGCCTTGAAAATGACAGTTGAAAGACTTGAAAAGTCTTGAAAAGGCTTTGAATTTTGGTGTTCCATATCTGTATGAACTACTAAAACTTGAAATAATATCAAAATATACATTTAAAAGAGCAAGGTGTAAATCTTAATATACATTGTCGTAGACATAAAAGGACCTGAAGTGTTGTAAATCATTGTGTAGAGTTGTGTCCCTTAGCTGTGGCAGGATACACTGATTGGGGTTTTGAATCACAGTATTCGGTTAGACTTCCAAATGAAATTTCCAGTTCTCAAATACTCGATAAAACCCGCAAATCTTAAAATACATTATGTTTATCTCCTAAATGGATGCTTTGATTGCCAGGATCGAGCAGCGACACCAAACATATGATAACGCAGGGTAAAAATGGAATCGCAGCTGATTGTGAGTAGCTGTTAGTTCTTTTTCTGGACATAATAAATGTGATAGATTACCATGGTTACAGCTTCCTGTTAATGTTTTTGAGACTACTTCTACTTAAGACTTGGAATATGTACAGTGAAACCCCTCTAATCTGGACAGTAGTGTTCCACTGAAGTCGTCCATATTAACAAGGTTTCACTGTTCAGTGGTTTCCTGTGCATCCTAACATCTGGTGATGATCATCTCATTGTTCAAAGGATAGAATCATTTCTCATTTATTGCAATATTTCGCTTATGTTAGCCAACAAAATCACTCTCTTGTTGCCACAGAATTTGCATGATGCTTGCGAAGTGAGAAACATGTCTTCAAGAAAATCCACTTTTGTTCCATTTCTTGTTTTTTATTTCCTTTTATTTACCTAACCCTTTCAGCATGTTAAATGATCATGTGGAAAAAATACACAGTCCTCACTTTATTTTCTTTCATAATATACGGTATGTGTATTCTGGCATTTTTCTATTTTTCCATTTGTTTAAGAATATATTTCTCAGCATTAGAAATGAACTGAGTCCACTAGTCCTTATAATATAGGGGGGCACGGGTGGCCCAGTCGTCTAAGGTGCTGCGATTCGCAGTGCAGAGTTGCGTCCCTTGGGCACGCCAGAAACCTATGATTGTGGGTTCGAATCCCGGTTTGCCCCGATTATGTTTCTAGGTTTGTCAGCACCATACCCGTGCTCATGGGTTTCACCAAAGTGGTAAACGTCTGAGACCTGCATCACTTCGGGCTTTCCTCCCACATTAAGCTGACACGCCGCGATATAACTGGAATACTGTTAAAAGCGGCGTTAAACCCAACTCACTCACTCACCTTATTATAATAACATATAGCAAGACCCTCAAAAAGGGCAAATTTCTACAAGTCCTTCTGATAGCTGAACTTCTGGGCAGTTTGGCAAGGACTGTAGGACTAGTGCCAATTTCTAACGCTGTTTCTCATGTCATTTGTCGTCCAGCCACAACGGTAGACTCGGACTCTGCGGTGTCCAGTGGGTCAACAGGTAGTGAGGGGGAAGACTCGGACCACACGTTCATCCTGCAGTCCAGCAGCCACTCTGAGTCGTCACACAGCTATTTCTCCGTGATGACCGAGAGTCTGGCCAACACCCAGATGTCCACTCTCCACAGTGAGCTGCGAGATCTCCGCCAGTCCACCCCTATCAAACAACTGCCGGACAGGGTGGCAGCCTGGGTGAAGACAGGATTCTACCCAGGTAACCATGGTAACGCTTCATACTTGATACTCTGTGTTATGATACATGTATTTGACATCTTGGTGTGAAAATTGCCATATTCTATTTTCTGGTATTAACCCAAAAAATGGAGCAGTTGTTTAGGCTTAAAAAGATAAAATAATTGGTTCTCAGGCAATGACTTTTGAAAATATTGGGTGGGTGGGCGGGCAGGCAGGCAGTGTTTTTTTGCTTGTTTTTGCTGCAAAATGTCAACCCAACTGACTCAGCCAATGAGTGTTCCTCACCATTATTTGCACTGTATATGTTTTATTGTTTTCTCCTAGTTTCACCAGCAAAGGCAGCCTCGTCTTCAACCATAGCCAAGGTAATTATTAGGATATGTATCCACAATGGATGTGACCCGTGCAGATCCGGGGTAGAATAGGTCTTCAGCAACCCATGATTGCCGTAAAAGGCGACTGCTTGGTTGATGCATGTCATCTACCCCAATTGCATAGTTTGATGCTCATGATATCAATCACTGGATTGTCTGGTCCAGACACGATTATTTACAGACCGCCGTCATATAGCTGGAATATTGCTGAGAGCATTGTTAAACAACAAACAAATGTTAGATAATTACACTGTTCCTGTGTCATTTATTTTTCAAGGAATCCAGTTTGGAAGCACCAAGATACTATCTTCGGCCTCGGAAACCCATTCCAGGCAGTCCGAACCCAGCGCTCAATGTGGAATCGCCGAACAGCTTCTCCAAAACAGTCCGCCATCTTGAACAAATCACGAGGAAAAATAGCATCCTTGCTCGAGCTGTTTTGCGTCAAAAGAAGCATCTACCCGACTCTTCTGATGAAGATTAACACAAGCCTAGTTGGTCTCCAGTGGTCTTTCATGAATCATTTAAGGGATTTTATTGACATTGTGATTTTTGCTTTATAGCGTATCTATTGATATCAATCATGTATTTTTTATGATGATGTCAACTGTTTCTGATCAGGGTTCGTACAGACTTGAAAAAGCCTTGAATTTTATGGTCCCTCTTGAAAAGCCTTGATTTTTAGTGTCAACCTTAAAAAGCCTTGAAAGCACCAAAATAAGTTGAAAAGCCTTCAAATTATACAAAATGAGATTTACTTGTATTAAAGCACACAAAAATATGTACCAAAGATGTTTCAGTGAGATTTACGACAGTGATAGATTTGTGTGCTAAAGACCCTGAAGAATTCATGACAGCCTAAATTCATTTTTTCGATGGGTTAAAAATAGATCTTTTTTTTAAATGTGTGATGGTCATACTGCTTTTTAGGTCTTGCTATTAATATATAGTATGCTGGATTTGATAAAATATAGAGAGATTCAGGTAAATAACCCACCTAAAAAACCCTTCATAAGGCCTTGGATTTTGGTGTTCCATATCTGTACGAACCTTGGTAATGCTATGAAGAGTAACTTTGACATATCTACTGTTAATTCTATTATTATCAAGAAATAGAGACATCATGAAAGGCTGTGAAAAACTAATAGTTTAAGCATTAAATGCTTTACTGATGATATAGAGAACAATGGTTGTAAATATTTTTTATTTAATTAAAATATTTCAGTGGAGGAGAATCTGTTAGAAACATCCTTTAATAACTGTACATTATATATTTCACATCTTGACAAAGTGTACAGAAACAGAATCCAGTTTTTCATTTTGTGTTATCCATATAGTTTTGTATCAGGAGTTTGTAACAGCAGATACAGCAGTATTTAGGGTCTATACTCTTGTTTTTACAGAAAATGCATTTACCCAAACTTTGTCAATATACAAAGGTTGCCAAAAATTTCTTTAATAATCTGCATGGATGAAAAGATTGTGTTAAAAAAAATTCATTTTTAGCTCACCTGGACAAAGTTACTTAACTAGGTGAGCTACAGTGCTGTTGAACTATTTTTATATTTGTACCAGTGTGCTATCAAGTATTGTCAGTGCTCACAGATTATTTGTGTTGTAAATATGTAAATAAAACTCATAAACCTTCCCATGTGTTTGATAATCTTTCCAGCATAAGATGACTGAAGCTTTCACTGGATAAGCACTGCAGGAAGTAACATCAGTTTGGTACAACAAATATTGTACTGCAGAATGACATGTGATTGGGTGAAGAACCTGGTTAGATTTGGTTGTAATCTTTGGTCAGGTGAGCTAAAAATGAAGACCTTCGTTACACTCTCTGCAACATCGTTGCCACCAGTGTGGAATCTTGAAATTTGCCCTCTAACCCCATTTAAGTTTATGTCTTTGGGAATGCAATCAGTGAATTCTGAAGAAGAAAGATTCACGACTAATCATATTTCTCAGATGAATTTACCTTTTTGTTTGTTTGATCAGATTGGTTCGAAATTGCAAAAGAACAGAAAATCAACCAACTTCCCCCTTACATTCTTGCTATATCAATTACATGATAGTTGTTGTTGACAAACAAACTAATTTAGCTGGGGTAAGAGTATTTGGGGTCACGGCAGTCATCTATCTCTTGTTTGTAAACATAACGGTCAGTCAGCTGCGAGTTCAACTCCAAGCATGGTTGTAGCCACCTATCAGAACAGGGAGCTTTGACTGGTGGCAGCGATATAGAGATCAGCGAACAGGCCATCATTGATTGGAGCTTCATTCCCTTTTCATATAATTTGTAAAGACAGCCATATTGAAAAAAACATTGTTGGCTTGTATTTCTCTGTAGGCGACATCATATTTTGTTCTATTAAATAATAGTGATGGTTCTCAGTGTTTATGCAGAAAATACTTGAATATCAATGCTGACCGCAACTTTAGTAAAGTGTGTCTTTGTTGTCATCATAAACTGTTGACAATCCATCGAGGTGAGCTACAGTGCTGTGGCACAATTTACCTCTGCACGTGACGTCACTGAGCACAACAAAACAATATCTGATTAAAAGTAGATTTATTTAGGTACACTTAAATGAGATGGGCATCGTATACTTCAAATCTAAAATGTATCAATATAAAACGATAAACATGGCAATAGTTTAACAAATGGTGTTGCATGTCACTCCTATGTTCAAAGTCTAGTATGGTCATGCCACAAAATGGCACATGATGACGACTGTACAAATAATCTTATGATAGCCTCTACACAACACATGAGAACAGTACTTTGATCATCACTGTTTCCTAACGTTTACCGTTATTCTCTCCATAGTAAGGCAACCAAACAAAGGGTCTCATGTTTCTCAGTTTTTTTAAGTTTGAGCAAAATTGATTCCGTTTCGTCTCTTTGTAATGTACAGTTAGCATGGTACAGAGAATATACAGCTGTGCAACTTAAATGTGTTAGAGTTACGTGCCCTTCAATTGTATGAAAAACTGGCAAAAAAAATTATAAAAATGATACAGGCTTAACAGTAAAGAAAATCATTCTTTTAATGGCCTGATAAAGGTAACATGTTTTAAGACCACAAATAGTTCTTTAAGCACTAACAAAACACTTCCAGTGTTAAAATATGGCATATTATCTGATGTTTTGCAGGGTGCAATGGAAACTGTAGACATTTAGCCAGCAACAAGTACTGATACATTAGTAATTGAACTGCGTAAATATACATACATAGGTTATAGCTGTACACATTTGATGCATACATAAACCCGAACACAACGTGACTCCTCAGTTCTAGGACAATGTCATACTATGAACGTATTTTTGTCAGGAACCCTTTTATGAAAGGTTATCAACTGTCTCAAATTTGGGTCGTCAGAAGACTTGTGAAACTTCACAAATCATTCAGCAACACTTACCTAAAAGTCAAATTCTGTAATGCTATAAACGACATCCGTAAATTGTTCCTTAAATTTCCTTCATAACATCTACGAGGCCTTGAGATCTTTTGCCTTTTCTAGAATGTAATCACCCAAGCTCATTCTCCATTATGCTAGCAGCAAAATCATTATGTTAAACAGATATTTTCAAATGCTGACACTACCATTTAAAGTCGAACTGAACATTTTTGTTTAAATGTTACCATTTTCTCTGGAGACATACTCTTGCAAATACACAACATGCAAATATATGCCAAGTCTTTGAAAGGCATTAAGAAGTGATACACATAAGGAAGAAAATTCATGGATGTCAACTTCTTTATTATGAGAAACAACATTTCGGAGTATATACTTACTCCTTCATCATGTACTCCGAAACGTGTTCCTCATGATAAAGTTGACATCCATAAATTTTCTTCCTTAAATAAATGCCATTTTAAACATTTAACAAGAAAAACGGAACTGTCAAACATATTTTTTCATTTAAACAGGGATTTAATTGTAGCACTTCTTTCATGATATCTTAATGTTTTCTTGTAAAAATAAATAACATTTCTAACATAATAATCAAGAAGAGCATTGTTCTTCAGATGAAAACAATCCTAAGAACATTGTAGGAAGCAAACAAGCAAAACCTTTGTCAGATGTATTATTAGCCTGCCAAGAAACTAGATGACTGAATTTTACCATCTTTAAGGTACCAAATGGTCAACTGTCTTTAAATGCAAAAAAGTAAATTTACAGGAATATTTGACATGCTTGTAAATTCATGTACATCAGAAACAATCCAGTTGTATTTACACTCAATATAAAACTTGATCTCTACCTGGTTGTTGTTGTTTTGGAGCTGCCAAATATTTGAATACTTTTGAAATGAAATATGTTGAACACTTCACAGAAATACATTGAAACTATTCTTAGTTTTATTCATTTCATTACTAACAATGAAACATTACTGAAGCATTAAAATTCCTCATTAACTTTCACATAACTACAATATTACTTGAAGTGATTAAAACTCAATTAAAAATTTGATGAACTTAAGTACAGAAATTTTGAACACTGTCTACTTGGATGAATAACCAAATCATCTGCTTGCCAACATGGTCTGTCCCATGAAAGATTTGTACAATATTTAAAAGTAATCAACCCATTTACAATCATATATTTACAAAACATAACTAACCCCGCATAAGCTTAAAAAAATATTCTTAAAATTGATTCTCAGGCAAAGGGATCTAGTTGAAAATGTTTGCCAACACACAGTTGCCTGAGAACCAAGAATATTACATATTTTTTTCAGCATTACATATAGTTAAACTGTATAATGTCATATTCCCTTTCCACATTTGTCAGATAAAACCTACAATTTCACTGTCAAATTTCATACCATTCCCAATTTTGAAATGTCCCTTATTCCAACTTTTGAAAAACCCGCACTTACTTAATTCTCAGCAGTACACAGAAACACAAGTCAAGACACAGAAGAATCTTAATCTGTCGTAAAACTTCATTAGGAACACCCACGCTTATCAAAAAAATATAATCAATAAATTTTAAGAAAAGCATATTGTCACATCTTGACAATCATCATGCTGCAAAATCCCCCTTGCAATCTTCATCAACCAGAATTACCGATGGAATTCTTTAACAATAAAGTAGTCCGACCCAAATTCTTAAATAATGAGACAGTACAGAAATCAGCATTACTTTGAACATCTGGTCATCGTCAATGGCCCAAGTCAAACTCAAAGACTTTTTTGGAAAATAAAACTAGAATCTTTCTCGGTATTCAAGTTCATCCTCCAACGTTTTTGCTAAGGCTGCCATTCAATCCAGATCGTTTCTCCGTGAGTGACGTCTAATCAATCAGTAAGCAACTGAATACTCTGGAAAAGCTGTAATGAACATTTTAAATACATGTACACAAGGTGACAATATACATGAACAGGATCTAACAAAGACTATCTTTAACAAATGCCTCGAAGCAAGTCTAGATGCTGGGAGGCTGCACTATCCTAGAATTGAACATACCAACTAGTGAATATTGTAAACAAAAGACCAGGCGACTGGCGGCTCCATGACGAGGCGTGGTGTTGTCTGTGTGCGATGAGGATGAAGGGTTCTCAACCGATGTACATTTCGCTCTGATATTTACAATACCCACTGTGTTGTGTGTAAACAGTATATAACAGATGAAAGATGTAACAAAGATGACAGTGAAATCATTTACAAATGAACATGAAATTGAAACATGATGCACAAATTCATTTTTCACTACCTTGGGAGGGTGCAATACAGAGACAGTGTCACTATAGGGCGCCGACAGTGCCTTCATCGGACAACATCAGCTGGTGTTAACACATACAATGTTTTCTGGAAACATTACTCAAATACACATACACCCAACATGCATTTGCAATGCACTTTTGTCGAATTTCAACAGAACAGTATAGACCGTCTCAACTGATGTGACCATTTTTTCAAGCTTAAGTCCATTCCTTAGTCGTTCCCTGAACAATAGTTCTCAGTTGAGCTGCGAAGACGACTCATTATTCCCCGACAGCTTCCCAGTAGAATCGTAATTTCTGAAGTCTTTGACTTCCATTTGGCAGCATTTCTTGAGATAGTATTTGTTGAGAATTGAAGATGTGCATCAGTAGTGGCCACTAGTGGGCCATGAGAATTCCCCTTAGCTTTGTCCATCCTCCTCAGTTTTGATTTTCTTAATAGCTGCACCAGTGATTGTGATGGTGGGTTTGCTGCAAATACAATATTAATGATAAAATTAATTAGTTCTAATCACATGATCAAGATACAATTTGTCACAAATTTTCTGATGAATTTATTTTGTGACAATAGTTATTGGACAGTTTACATCCCATCACTGCTAGATTTTCTGCTCTGTTCCCTGATCACATGACAAAGGACAAAATGTCTACGGTCAAACTCAAAGTCAAGTGATCTGGAGACATATAAATGATATATGTACCCACAGTTCTGGTAAGTATTCAAAGTCAACAAACGTCCCACCCCTCAATAGGCCTATTTTTACTATTGCAATAGTATTGCGATAGTAACACCCAAAACCTATTTCACCTGAATTGGGGTCAATAAGCGTTTCTGTCAAATGGCACATTTCTGGCCATTGAATATGATCCAAAACTAACGTTGAACTAACTTCACCCAAGTGAGTGAGGGAGTTGGGTTTTAACACCGCTTATAACAGTACTCCAGTTATATCATGGCATGTCAGCTTAATGTGGGAGGAAAGCCCGAAGTGATGCAGGTCTCAGACGTTTACCACTTCGCTGAAGTACGAGTAAGGTGCTGACAAACCTAGAAACATAATCGGGGCGAACCGGGATTCAAACCAACAATCATAGGTTTCTGGCGTGCCAAAGGGATGCAACTCTGCACAGCGAATCGCTGCGCCTTAGAGGACTGGGCCACCTGTGCCCCCAACTTCACCCAAGACACAACTAGATAGTTTTTGCCTTACCCATCGGAGCTGACTCTCTTCACGGCTATTTTTCCACCCGCCATTGCTGTTTGGGAGGCATCTGTAAAAATCAAACATAACTTCAGATTGTTTCTTAAGTGACACAATGCATGTTGGCCAAGTGCCTGTTAGCAAGTTTGAGCACATCAGAACTCACATACTACTCAAACTGGTTGTTTTTTTAAAGGTGTGAAGTGAAAGGAACAGAATCACTCAAGGGCACAAATTAGTGATGGTAATTGATGGGACTTTTTAGATGGTAGTGGGTCAGCAACATATTTTCTGTTGCATTATTAATTATGGTTAACCTATTTTACATAAACTGCTCAGATTACAGGGTTTCAGATCAGTTGATTATCATCATCATCATCTCATCTCACCTTGCAGCCACCTGACTTGAGTAGCTGGGCCGTAGCCCTTTTCGTTCCTAGCTGCGATACGGAAGATGATGGCTGGCTTGGTGGTGAAGTCTATGTGAGCTGATGCCAAACTGGCCGTGGTGACGACACATGAGGGATTGGGGCCACAGTAAACTCGCACAAACGCAAGTTGAGCTGGGGCGCCAGGCTTTTGTTCTGCTGCCGCAGCATTTCGGACGGCCAAATAGACAGAATATTCGGTGATTTTTCCGGCAGTGTTTTGAGGTGGTTCCCATGATAAATGTGCTCCCTCTGCACTCTGAAAATCAGAAAGTTCAAACATGTACTTACATTGAAATCAGTGAGTCAGTAATCTATTATTGGAACTTGTGTGCAAAATGGCAGTGATAAAATAGACCGCAGCCATACCTCCGTTATATACTCCAATATGTCCACATAAAAAACATTCACATTTTTGGCATTAATTTCATGAATTATAGTATATGATTTATTCATTACACCACTTCTAAGGATCCCAGTAGCAAAAATATTACCCCAGGAAAAGTATTTAGTTTACTCTTATTTAACTTGAGATCTGTCTCCAGTAAAAAGGCATCAACCAAATGAAAGGGAAGTAACTCCTACCTTGCTGATCTTTATTGCCGAGGGTGCCCCTGGGAAACCTGGTAGACATGTTTTAAAGGCTGAGACTTCACTGAACGGCCCTCGGCCACATGCGTTGATACCTGCCACACGGAACTTGTAGGCTGTTCCAGGCTGGAGTTCTTGTCGTTTTAACACACTGTGGTCGGGTACGTTAACAACGTCGATATCCTGAAAGACAGGAAGCAACTTCTACAAAACTGACACTATCCTATCGTAGTCTTAAAGAAGTTATAACATGCAGAACCTAATGAGAATCTGACTAAAAAACAACAACAATAACAAAAAACATCTTATTCATCTTTACTGAACATATCAGAAACCAAAGACAATTTGACCAGCCATGTATGCTCACCAAACTCTGAAGCATTCTTAAAGAAAAAGAATGAAGGCCACATATTCCCGTAAAGAAAGTATTTCAAACAAGGCTTTGTTTGGTTGTTGTTTAACACAATATTCCAGCAATATGAAAGCAGTCTGTAAATAATTAAACCTAGACCAGACTATCCAGTGATTGACATTATGAGCATCGATATACGCAATTGGGATACGATGACATGCATCAACCAAGTCCGCGAGCCTGACCACCTGATCCTGTTACCCGTCTCTTACAACAAGCATGGTTGCCACTTAAGACAAACTTGGGTTACTGAAGACCAAATCCAACCCGGAATCTTCACGGGATTCAACCAAGGCAGTTGGTGACAGCTACCCCTTGGTCATCATTCAAGCAAAATTATACTCTGAAGCCATAGTGGTCATCGGACCCTCTTTTGGCTAAAAGCATGGGGTATTGAGTGAGTGAGTTGGGTTTAACTCCGCTTTTAACAATATTCCAGTTATATTGCGCGTCAGCCTAATGTGGGAGGAAAGCCCGAAGTGATGCAGGTCTCCGACATTTACGCTTCGGTGAAACCCACGAGCACGGGTATGGTGCTGACAAACCTAGAAATAATCAGGGCGAACAGGGAATTGAACACACAATCATAGGTTTCTGGCATGCCCAAGGGACCCAACTCTGCACAGCAAATCTTGGCGCCTTAGACAACTGGGCCACCCGTGACCCCGCATGGGGTATTGAGAATCTATTCAGACAACCCCAAGAAACATTGCCAGAACTTACATCTCCATTGCCCTGGGCTCCTTCAGAAGGTAGGTGGTAGTGAGATACAATACACGTCGTGCCTTTGATGATGCCAACGTCATACCACTGGTTTGCGTCCCGCTTCAACGGAGTTGTCTTTTCCTGAAACAATCCCAAAACCTCACTATTCTCCTCAAGCAATGGTATACACGCATTGGTTATTCTAAATGCATAAACTGCTGTTCACATATGGATAGTGTAAAAATTGACTAAAATGTAATGGTTAAAATGTGATTAGGTCTCAGTGTAGAGTGTTTGTGATACATTGTTTTCTAGTATTGGTTAGTTAGGCAATTATTTGCTAAACATTTTTAAAGATAAGAAAACATACCTAATTAAATGATAAATATTACTATGTTGTTTTTTTTTTTAAATAAGCCAACAACAAAAATATTGGCACATTAAATAGGTTGGCTAAGAAATTGGAGTGAGTTGAACACCACTTTGAACAGCATTCCAGTTATATCACTGGTAACAGTGTGATGTGGGAGGAAAAAAGAAATTGGAACTCCAAGTGAAGATATTAATATTGACCAATGTATAGATGTAAAACAAAATGTGTTGCCTCAATGAATTGACAACCAAATGAATGTGGAAGCACTGACCTGTTTAATCTCTGGCTCTGTCTTGACGCCATTTGCAGGTGTCCCGGGCTCCTGCTTGACTACTGCTGCTGAAACAGGCGCCGATGACATGGCTGCTGTCGCCAATGTCGCGAGGGGATCTACACAGATGTATATCACAATAAGTAATTGTTTGGCATAAAATCTGTAAGACCTTAATTATGTGCAAAACCTCACAAATGCGTCATTGAAGAATAAAGGGGAACAACTCATGTCATGTTTGGGAAATAGGCAAAAGGTTGCAAGCCACTAAAATTATAGAATTTTCACTATCACGATTCAACCCCTTAAATACAGAATCAGATTACATACAAGAGTCATCAGAAGATGACAAACTCCCCCAGCCCCTACACATTTTTAAAGAAACAAATCATCTGACTGTTACTAAAGTCCTACTTGATGAGAGACTTTCTATCTAATCTGTCTGCCTGTATACAAGAGTAGTTTTGAGCTATCAAAACAGTACCATGGAATTGGGATTCAGAACTTTGTATTTCTATGTCGGGTCCAGACCAATAGACTATATGAGACTAAGTCCAAATTGTTTCCATGGAAATCGGGGGGGAAATGAAAATGCAAAAAAATCGCAAATAGCAAAAGGCTCCTTTTCAGGATCTGTTTGATACACCTGCTAATTTTTGTTGAGAGATATTGAACAGTTTTTTCAAGGTACACTCCGGAAACGGAATGATTACGGACAGACAGACGAGGCATTGACAAGTAAATCCTCCCTTATTATATGCCAGGGGGATAATAATTGAGTCTGGACCAGACATTCCAGTGATTGATATCATGAGCATTAATATCACTATTGGGATACGATTACATGCATCAACGAAGTCAGCGAGCCTGACCACCCGATCCCGTTAGTTGCCTCTTACCAGAAGCATAGTTGGTAATGATCATGTTCCAGTGTGTGAAGGCTAAGATTATTTCATATCTTTGAGCACTGCACAATTCACTAATATAGATATCATTTATTGTATTTTGTATTGTAGAGCATTGATATACAGGCAGGTATTGCTGCAGCCCTACCCTTTACATGTAGTTACCAGTGTAAGGTACATGGTACAGATAAGGTACATAAGTTGTAACCCCTCAAAACCTGGTGAATTTCTAAAGAATCTTCTATGAATCATTTTACAGCTTTGCTTGTTGCAGTGTCTACTGGTGTGCCATTTAATCGAAATAAGAAAAAACAACATAATTATAAATTCTTTAAGACTATAACAGCCTTAGACTGACAGTGATATTGTACAAAGTTGGTGGACAAGTACATGACAGAACTGAGGTAAAATAGTTAAGATTGCTTGCTTCCATTCAATCCAAATTTATAAAATTTGTATAAAACCAAAATAATTGGGTGAATCATAAATAGAAAAAGGCACATCTACACTATAAGGTGATTGTGTTTACCAAGTTTCTTAAAGATATCTCTGAAATAATTTTCCAGTTCTGCTACAGAATTGAAATCCACTGCTTCTATTCAGTTCAGCTTGTTTAGAGGTTAAGTCCAAAATTTATAAAATTTGTACAGAAGATATTGTTGGCGGTCGGAGATAAACATATTATGTATGATGAGTCAACATTGCAGGGTTAGAACTTAACACTAACCCACTAGCATGGGGTTAGGACAAAATTCCCCATTGATTTAAAATTACAAGGGCATTTTATCTTTATCTGGGTTGGTTGGTTGGTTTGTTTGTTGTTTAAAGCCGCACTCAGCAATATTCCAGCTATATGACAGCGATCTGTAAATAATCAAGTCTGGACCAGACAATCCAGTGATTTATATCATGAGCATCGATCCACGCAATTGGGATCAATGACATGCATCATCCAAGTCAGCGAGTCTGACCACCCGATCCCGTTGGTCGCCTTTTACGACAAGCATAGTCGACTTTTACGGCAAGGATTGGTTGCTGAAGACCTATTCTACCTGGGCTAGTAAAGCTTTTGAGTTTAGTTCTAATCCTGACACTGGGGGAGATCATGTCGATTTGTTTTACTTTTCCAGTAATGTATGCAGCGCAGCCATTTTATCCGTAGTGCTGTCTGTTAACTGCAGCTTACACTGGGGGCAGTGGAGAAACACATGATATCGCACCTTGTGATATTTTGGTGTGACCGAATCCCTAACCAAGAACTAAAACATGTAAGCAGACAATTTCTTCTGACCAATTGTACTCACCCGACACATCAGCCACACTTGACACCGCACTAGCTGCTGACCCTGTAAATGTCGAAGATGTGTCCATAGCACTTTCTGACTGAGCCTGGGCGAGGAGGCCTGGCTCGGGTTTCACCGAGATGCCACTATGTTCAGTAGCAGCTGCAGCAGGGGTAGTGTCCATGGGTTCGTCAGCAGGTGCTTCCACACTGCCGACACCTGCACTATCTGTAGCACTATTTAACTGAGCAGCGACCAACATCGGCTGACTAGTTGTTGCAACTGTTGGTGCTGGAGAGCCTTCCTGCCGAACTGACTGTTCACCTGGATTTCCGACAACACTAGGTTTAGAGTCACCATTATCACCTTGACCTTCACCTGGGGCAGTGACCCCTTCTGATGTCCCACTATCACCTTGACCTTCACTCGGTCCACTATCACCTTGACCTTGATCACTACCTGCCGGAGGGGGTGTTCCACATCCCTCGGGTCTTCCACAGTCTCCTTGCGTAGGTGGTGGAGTTCCACATCCCTCAGGTCTTCCACAATCACCGGGAGGTGGCGTTCCACATCCCTCAGGTCTTCCACAATCACCAGGAGGTGGCGTTCCACATCCCTCAGGTCTTCCACAATCCCCGGGAGGGGGTGTTCCACATCCCTCAGGTCTTCCACAATCCCCAGGAGGTGGCGTTCCACAGCCTTCAGGTCTTCCACAATCACCGGGAGGTGGCGTTCCACATCCCTCAGGTCTTCCACAATCACCGGGAGGGGGTGTTCCACATCCCTCAGGTCTTCCACAATCCCCAGGAGGGGGTGTTCCACAGCCTTCAGGTCTTCCGCAATCACCAGGAGGGGGTGTTCCACACCCCTCAGGTCTTCCACAATCCCCAGGAGGGGGTGTTCCACATCCCTCAGGTCTTCCACAATCCCCAGGAGGCGGTGTTCCACATCCCTCAGGTCTTCCACAATCCCCAGGAGGCGGTGTTCCACATCCCTCAGGTCTTCCACAGTCTCCATTAGGTGGTGGTGTTCCACATCCCTCGGGTCTTCCACAATCCCCAGGTGGCGGTGTTCCACAGCCCTCAGGTCTTCCACAGTCACCCCCAGCCTGGGCATCTGCTACAACAACAGGCGTAGTCACTGGAACAGGAACAGTGGTGATCGTCGGAGCAACTATAGGTGTGACCTTGGGGCCGACCGGAGTGATGGTGATCTGCATGGGCTGTTTACCTAGTGTGGTATGTGTGGGTGTGGCTATGATCTGCCTGGTGGCGAGCGTTGTGGGGACATCTCCGGGGGTTTGCTGGGCTATGAGTGAGATGGTTGAGGTGCCCCCCGTGGATGCCTTCACCATGGGGCTGGAGAGGATGGAGGTGGCAGCAGTGGTGGTAGTTGAGATGTGGGCAGGGACAGCTGTAGTGGATCCGGTCATGCCGGCTTGGGCTGAAAGACAAGGCAAACATGAAGACCTTTCAACAAACAAGTGTTAAGTGTATGAGAAAAAATGAGTGAGTTATACAACGTTTAACAATATTCCAGCCCGATCATTGGGGGGGGGGGGGAGAGAGAGAGACACCAAAAAAAGGGCTCAACAATTTTTACCTGTGGGGAACAAAACACAACCTGTGTGACTAGTGAACATCTTAGCCTCTTCGCCACTAGGATACCCACCACCCATTCAAAAGGTTCAATTAATTGCAATTGATTGATGTTCCAAAAATAGAGTGTGTGGGGGGGGGGAGAGAGCGATGTCTTGACACTACAGTACACAATACTCCATCTTGAAGACGCCAGTCTGTACACACCCAAATCAGAGAGAGAGAGAGAGAGAGAGAAAGTATGTATGAGTATGACTGCTTGTACTTGTACAGCTGGTTTTTTTAGTGCTAACCACTGACATGACATACCATGCTGCCATTTCCCAGCAAATAGTCCTTGTTTTATTGTCTTAACGCTACAATCAGGCAGGTTAACTGTTCACTATCCACCAGACCATAGAGGCAGTCCTATAATTGTAACTGATTAAACAACATACCTGCAGACAGGATGGTGACAACAGGTTTAGTGGCCGGTGATGTTCCCGCGGACGATGAAGGAAGAGCGGTGACAGTGATGGGCTTATTGCCTGCATGAAAAAAGGTTAACCATGAATTAACAGGTTAATAAAACAAATCACAATTTTCTAACACAATTACCAGTAACCAGGGATTTATCTAGACCTGCTCAGAGGTTGACATTCTATCCAAGTCACCAGCAATTTATACTAAAAATTTCAAATTTGAATTATTAATTCCCAATTCTGCAGAATTTTTGAAAACATGAACATTTAAAAATATCCAATTTTGAACAATATCACACTATTCTTCCCAATTTGCCTGCCAAGTGCAGTTAGTTTGGAATAAAAGAGAAATCCATGTGGAAGACACTACTTGGCATACTCTTCGGTTTCGTTCCACAAATTTTCAAGTATTTTCATTTTCTTTTTCAAAATCAACATCCAAATGTTTCCAAGCTCCGGAGCAAATGTACTAGCCTGCTTCCAGGCTGAAGGTTCCTAAACCTCACCAATGATGGTCTGTGCTGTGGATGAAGCTTGGGACCCCTGAGGGCTGACCACGATGAACTGAGTATTTCCCTGGCCACCCAGTTTGGGCACTGATGTGATTATTTTGGTAGGTGTGTTGAGTGACCCCCCGCTGCCCCTGGGTGCTGCAATGACGATGGTCTTGGTGCCTGCATGGGTTGTCGTGACACCGGCAACTCCGGCTTTGGCCATTGAGATCATGGAGGAAGGTATAGTCTTGATTATTGTAGTCACATTCTTGCTGGAAGACTGGAAAGGAACAGTTTCATTTAGAGTCAACCTTCAGCAACATTCGGACCATGCTCCATACCCTGCTAGTAAAGTTTTTTAGTTTAATTCTTTTGTTTGTTGCCCCCTCAGCAATAGGCCAACTATATGATAGCAGTCTGTAAAAAAATTCGACTCAGGACCAGACAATCCATTTATTGATATCATGAGCATCGATCCACGCAATTGTGATACAATGACAAGCACCAACAAAGTCAGCGAGCCTGACCACCCGATCTCGTTTGTCGCCTCTTACTACAAGCATAGATGGTTATAATTATTGCAATCAGCAATATGGTGTTGTATGATGATGGCCGATAAATAATCGAGTCTGTACAAGACAATCTGGTAATCTATATTATGAGCAACAATCTACATGGGTAGGGTGCCGTCAAACCTAGAATCATAATAAGATCCTGGCATGCCTGTGGGACACCACTCTGCACAGCAAATTACTCAATAGGAGGAATAACTCACAAAGTGCCACAGATGAACGAAATGAAAATGATATTCACTGCAACATATAATCAACTGTAATGATATGACAGCAGTGATTTATCTAGACCTGCTCAGAGGCTGATATTCATATCCAAATCTCCAGCAAATGTCAGGAAAAATTCCAAAAGAAAATATAGAGGTCGTTATACCACAAAAACTTTTAAAAGTGAGAATTATTTATTTCAAATTTTGTCTTATTCTAAGTTTCTATTCCATGTTAAAAGTTTGGCCATCATTCAAGTGCAAAATTTTATAGAAAAGCTTGAAAATAATGAAAAATAGTGTTTTGATTGATTACAAAAGGCAAATTCTGCATTTTTTCTGCAACTTCTGCAGAAAGTCACATTATCTGCACATCTTTTTGCGATCACAGAATCTGTCTGGGACTGCATTATTGAATGTCATGTTAATATACAATGTTAAAAGAAAATTTAGGAACTTTTAAAACTTTTTTAGAACTTCCCCCCCCCCCCCCCATTTGATAGCCAAGGGCTCTTAGTTGGGAATGCTAGATAAATGAACAGTAAACTGTTAACACAATGCTAGGAAGGTGGATCAAGGCTAGGGCTTGGCACAGACATGGTGAAGGACTAGCTGAAACTATTGGTCTGAAATGACCCATGGACAAGTTGGAAATGACCCATGGTATCTTTCCTTCTAGACAGGACTTACACTAGGCTGGACACTGCTAATTCCGAGGATTGTGGAGGGGGTCTGGCCCGACTGGTTGCTAGTGAAGATGGCCGTGGGTTTGTTGGAGCCAGCCTGGGTTGTCACCAGCTTCACGATGGTTGCACCTTGTGGCAGGCCTCCCTTTGTCTGGAAAGAAGGAATCAAGTAAGAAAGTGTGAACGAGATGAAAAGAGATGTCTTGTTTGTTGTTGAACACCACACTCAGCAATATTCCAGCTATATGACAGTGTTCAGTAAATAATCAAGTCTGGACCAGACAATACAGTGATAGACATCATGAGCATCAATCTACAGAATTGGGATACGATCTCATGCATCAACCAAGTCAGGGAGCCTAACCACCCGATCCCGTTAGTTGCTTCTTATGGCAAGCATGGATTACTGAAGACCAATTCTAACCCGGACCTTCACGGGGACGTCTTATGATGAAGTCTGTATTGGTCATAGTGGATATTAATGTTTTTAATCACTTAAGGTGAGTGAGTGAGTTAAAATTTAACGTCACATCGGCAATATTACAGCCATATTGTAACGATATTCACTATAGGATCCATCAACATAAACTTTCACAAATTATGGAAGCAAAGTTTAAGATTTTTTTGTTTTTCTCTTTTTCCCTACAATTGCAATTATGTTTATATTCTTATTACAACTCTCATCTCATGTTTGGAATATAAAGCAAGCCTACTAACAGTGGCAACGGTCATCCCTTGTGTTGTCTTGACCAGTGTGACAATCTGTGGCTGGCTGCCTGACATTGATCCAGCCTTGTGGACAGTGATGATCTGTTTGCCTGCCATGTTGGTGGCCCCGCCAGCTGTCTTCAAGATGGCCGATCCTGGGGCAGACACGCGGATGGTTTGTGTTCCAGGTGATAATGTTGTTCCTGAAACAAGTAAAATACCACTGTAGCTCTACACCACAACTTCAAAAACAGATTTGTTAAATGTTGTTTAGAAAGTCCACTGATCAAGGTGTCTGGTGAAGTAGGGTGAAATCGGGTTTAACAATGCGTTCAATATAATTGCACTTGTATAGCGATGCGCATGCATGTGTTGATGCACGCAAACGAGTCTGATTGTACTAGTCCTGGACTAATGCCATTTTTTTGTGCTAGCCCACTGAGATACCACGTTATACTGACTCGAAGCTGACCAGTCCTTGTTTTATCCTCGTAATGCCCAGCACGGGGCAGGGTAACATGTACCATCTTGAGGACTTTTGGTTAGAAGCGACTGGGGATAGAACCATCAACCCCACTCTCCAAAGAGATACATTTGGAAAACCTGAGACAAACTTGAATCGATTCCAACTGAAAATCACATTGTTCCCAGTCAATGTATCTTCAACAGTCGCTGATTTGGTGATTAAAAATAGCCTCTTTCTTACACATTTGTGTCCATTGTGTTATTATGGGACAAGCTGAATAGAGACTTATGCCCCTCAAGTTAAAATACCCAAAAGGCAAGAAACATGTGGGTAAAAACTGCCCCTTAAGATTGTTGATACTCGGTCACTAGCCCTCAAGAGTTTGTAGATAGTCCTGCTAGAGAACAAAATGTTTACTATTTTTCATTTTCTATAAGTTTTAATCAGTTTCCAATTGTCGACACAATTGAGGCATTTAAAATTATAGCCCTTAAAAGCTACTAGTCAATGAGGACTAGTATCATTGGGTTTCTACTTGTCCTCATAACAACTTAGTAGACAGGTTAGCGCGAATTTCGAAGGCTTTTTGTACCTCTAGGTTTGCCTGTCAAATTGCTCAAAACTTCTCCATGTGACCAGTAGAAACGTTTCCAACATACACACTTGAATGAGATTGTACCATCTTCTGGTAACATATCTTTCTTGTTTGTTTGTTGTTAAACGCCACACTCAGCAATATTCCAGCTATATGATGGCGGTCTGTTAATAATCGAGTCTGGACCAGACAATCCAGTGATTGATATTATGAGCATCGATCGACGATATTGGGATCAAAGACATGCTTTAACCAAGTCAGCGAACCTGACCACCCGAGCACTTTAGTCACCTCTTACGACAAGCATAGTCACCTTTCACGGCAAGCATGAACACATATTCTACCCCAGATTTTCACGGGTCGGTAACATATCTACACATATACAACCCAACATGGAAACTTAAAACTTGGCTCACCTTGAAGTTTGCCTTGCACCTTGACCCCTGTGGGTGTGACTATGGTTGGCGTGACCACTTTGATGCCTGACATGGGCGTGGTGGTGGCGCCAGTGGTACCGGGTATCTTCTGTGTTGCGGCTGCTGCTGCTGCAAGGGCAGCAATGCCAGTCATCTGCCCAGTAGCTCCCTGCTAACAAACACAATTATTCCACATATGATTCAGCCAGAGTAGGGCATATCTCTTTGCTTTTATGTTTGGCGCGAATAATCCTAGTCAGTAAAGAAAAACAAATACTGCTTTTCAGACTTTTCTATCTATCTATGCTTGTTGTTTAACTCCGCACTCAGCAACATTTCAGATATATGACTGCGGTCTGTAAATAACTGATTCTGGACCAGACAATCCAGTGATTGAGATAGGATGACAACGATCCTGTTAATCGCCTCTTATGACAAGCATGGGTTGCTGAAGACCAATTCTCTACCAGGATCTTCACAGGTCCTCAGACTTTTCACTCATTTTCCATTGGATTATGGTATAATAACATTGTGAGAATAATGTCATTTTCTGACGACGGCGATCTGTAAATAATTGAGTCTGGACCAGACATTCCAGTGACTGATATCATGAGCATTAATCCACGCAATTGGGACCGATGACATGCATCAACCTAGGCAGCGAACCCGTGACCTCTTATGACAAGCAAAGTTGCCTTTTATGGCAAGCATGGGTTGCTGAGGACCTATTCTACCCCCACCTAAAAGTTAAGGTATCAAAAGAACAAGTTGAAATTTACCATTATTGAGCATTTTGCTATACATTATCTCTAAAAGGACTGGTGGGCCAAAACAGTGAGTTTCTATCGCTGTTGATGAATGTGTTATGAATATTTGGAGAGTTGAAAAAAGGCAGTTATTATAGCACCAATACTATCATAGGAGACCATTCTAAACATCAGAGAATTTCAACACTTACAACGTTCCCGCTGGCTTTGGAACTCTAAAAACTACCAGTCACCACTAAACTTTTGTAAGTCCCTACTTTCAACATATAAAAAATTGTGTGAAAATGTCCTGGTTTTAATGCTTTCAACATCATGTTTAGTGCAGCGATGTCATCTCTAAAGTAACTTATTTAGATCTACACGTCATTCACACAAAATTCTCTTCTTTTTTAGACATTTTGCTCCAAATGGATATTTAACCTCAAAGCAAAGTGAAATATCTAAGCCTAATTTTAGCGTTAAAAGAATGGTAATTACTGGAAAACGGGAACACTGACATATAGTTTCAATTCAATGCATTCCTCCCATGTAACAAATCACATACACTGGTTACTATTGTTTTATGTCCCTGCCCGACACTGATGATCTGGGGTGTGGCTACTCTCATCCCCTGAGACACTGGGGTGATGGTGACGGGAGTCTTGACCCTCGGGGTGGCCGTCACTGTGAACAAAGTCAGTCCTCTCAAACAAGGGTAAAACAACATGAAAAATTATCAGTACTGTTCAAATTAAGAATCAAACATGAACTGGCCGAGAGTGAATAAATTGTCATAAAATCAATTTAAATTAAAAAGAGTGAGTGAGTGAGTGTGTGTGAGGTTTTACGCCGCTTTTAGCAATATTCCAGCAATATCACGGCGGGGTACACCAGAAATGGGCTTCACACATTGTACCCATGTCGGGAATCGAACCCGGGTCTTCTGCGTGGCAAGCGAACGCTTTAACCACTAGGCTACCCGACCGCCCCTAAATTAAAAAGAAGAGAATGAAAATCAAATAGAAACGGCAGAAAATCCAAACATTTCAACAACTGAAAGCCTGGGATATTTCAGAATATGCTTGTGGAGAAAGTATCCGAGAGATGATCAGTTTAAGATAAACCTAGCTTTAATAAATGTCAAAATCAATCAATTAAATTCAAGTAAGACACATGCAATAAAGCTATTAAGCTAAATCAACAAATTGAACAATCACAAATATCTAAGGTCAAGATGCAATGAATGAAAACCCATGCCTGTAGTGAGTGAGTGAGTTGGGTTTAACGCCGCTTTTAACAGTATTCCAGTTATATCGCGGCGTGTCAGCTTAATGTGGGAGGAAAGCCCAAAGTGATGCAGATCTCAGACGTTTACCACCTCGGTGAAACCCACGAGCACGGGTATGGTGCTGACAAACCTAGAAACATAATCAGGGCGAACCGGGAATTTAACCCACAATCATAGGTTTCTGACGTGCCCAAGGGACGCAACTCTGCACAGCGAATCGCGGCGTCTTAGACGACTGGGCCACCCGTGACCCCTCCCATGCCTGTAAACTACACTGCAAAACTAACATAACAAAGCTGTTTGCATTTAAATTTCTTAAACAGTGACAAAACTCAATACACACAAGACAGAAACAGGAAACAAAAAAGAACAGTTGACAGACAGATTCTCAGCAGATGACATGGACACAGACAACCCATTCCTGTGAATTGCCACATTTAAACTGTTTTACTTGTTTCATGATCAATATTATGACTACTTTTTAATCAAAGCCATGCACATTTAGCATTCAAAGCATAAAAAATCATCCTGTTATTTTTCAGTTAAGACTGAAGCATGCTTTTGAAAATTAAAATCAAATACATATTTGATTATAAATATGAACTTTCATCCAATGATCAAAATTGCATCAAATCATTAGTCCAGAACAACTGAAAATTTCCAATATGTAATTTTTTTGCCATTATGCAGAAATAACCTTGTCATTGACATTTACAATTTTGTTCTCTCTTATAATTATGTATTTTTTGGTAAATAAAACAGAAAAAAAAAAATATTGCAAAAGTTACATTGATACATATACAGTATGATTTCATGCACAAATAGTTGAAAAACATGACCAAAATAAACTGTTTTAGTTTGCCGTTATTCATGCTGCGGACGAGCGAGGCAGACAATGCTGCCCAACTATATACCTCTGATTGTCTGTGGGGCGGTGAGTGCGAGCGAGGCCAGATTGGCCGCTCCTAGAGGCCTCACTGCGCCAGTGGCTGGGAACAGGAGATAGTAAGATAGATCAGGGGGGCACATGGGGGTGACAGTAGAAAGATCAGGGGGGCACATGGGGGTGACAGTAGATAGATCGGGGGGGGGGGGGGGGCACATGGGGGTGACAGTAGATAGATCAGGGGGGCACATGGGGGTGAGAGTAGATAGATCAGGGGGGCACATGGGGGTGACAGTAGATAGATCGGGGGGGGGGGGGGGGCACATGGGGGTGACAGTAGATAGATCAGGGGGGCACATGGGGGTGAGAGTAGATAGATCAGGGGGGCACATGGGGGTGAGAGTAGATAGATCAGGGGGGCACATGGGGGTGAGAGTAGATAGATCAGGGGGGCACATGGGGGTGACAGTAGATAGATCGGGGGGGGGGGGGGGGGCACATGGGGGTGACAGTAGATAGATCAGGGGGGCACATGGGGGTGAGAGTAGATAGATCAGGGGGGCACATGGGGGTGAGAGTAGATAGATCAGGGGGGCACATGGGGGTGAGAGTAGATAGATCAGGGGGGCAAATGGGGGTGACAGAAAGATAGATCGGGGGGGGCACATAGGGGTGACAATAGAAAGATCAGTGGGGCACATGGGTTGACAGTAGATAGATCGGGGAGCACATGGGGGTGACAATAGATAGATGAGAGGGCAGATGGGGGCGTCAGTAGATAGATCGGGGGGCACATGAGGGCGACAATAGAAAGATCGGGGGGCACATGGGGGTGACAATAGATAGATGAGAGGGCAGATGGGGGTGACAGTAGATAGATCGGGGGGGCATATGGGGGTGACAATAAATAGATGAGAGGGCAGATGGGGGTGACAGTAGATAGATCGGGGGGCACATGGGGGTGACAATAAATAGATGAGAGGGCAGATGGGGGCGTCAGTAGATAGATCAGGGGGCATATGGGGGCGACAGTAGAAAGATCGGGGAGCACATGGGGGTGACGATAGATAGATGAGAGGGCAGATGGGGGCGTCAGTAGATAGATCAGGGGGCATATGGGGGCGACAGTAGAAAGATCGGGGGGCACATGGGGGTGACAATAGATAGATGAGAGGGCAGATGGGGGCGTCAGTAGATAGATCAGGGGGCAGACAGACAGCAATAGAGTGAGAAGATGAAGTGGACAGGATTTGTGAAGGAACATAGCCATCACGTTATACTTTGATTGATGTTGACAACACTTGTCAGTGAAATGGTTCGGATAACCTGACCAATTCTTTTTTACATTGCCTATCATCTCTTTCCCAGTTGTCCTCACTGTTTGGACATACAAAGAGGAAGGTATATATAGAACACTATACAAAACTACCAAAATATATTTTAAAAATTAAAAATCTATGTCTATTTATTCTATTATGAAATATAAGGCAGCCTCAGTAAAATTAGGTTGTTCTGAATGAGTGACTGTTGTTTGAGTCTGTAGTAAGCACTATTCAATCCGTATCACAACGAATGTCAAGTTTACAATCTGAGCATGAGCTGTCTTCTGATGACACCCTATCAGTCAGTTCAGACACTGGGATCACACTCTCCCCATTACTGTTGTATCTAACGACTATAATAGGGTACAGAGTACCAATTCTTCCCAAAACTTCGTCAGGCCCTAAATTGACATTGATACTATACAAGATTGTATTAATAAAAGAAGAGAAACTTGATAGAATTTTTAAAAATGAAATTGGCTCTCAAGCATATAAACATGTTTATCTTTATATCTGTCCTTGTTATTTTGTCAAGAAGATAAGTTGACATCAACCTAATGTCCATATAAAGACAACAAATCGGTTTCAGTCTTCAGTCAAAAACATTATGAAAAATATGTACTGCTACTGAACACACTATGACTAGTGAGGACTGATGGTAGACAAGATAGTATCCTCCACATGAAAAGGGACAGAAAAAAACTGTGAAAATGTTCCATCCTAAGTATTTAACAGTGAATATCATGACTACAATCTACTCATTCAATTTCCAAAGTAGACTCATATACTGAAACTAATCCTACTGTCTATCAACTATCCATAGGATAAGTACTAAAGCGCAGGTTGCAAATGAGAGGCATGATCATCTTGAAGCCTCTTGATTTCAAATCAGTTCAAACCACTCCAGAATAAACCTACAGAGTGAGTTGGGTCTTAATGCTGCTTTTAACAGTATTCCAGTTATATCACGGCATGTCAGCTTAATGTTGGAGGAAAGCCCGAAGTGATGCAGGTTTCAGACGTTTACCACTTCGGTGAAACCAAAGAGCACAGGTATGGTGCTGACAAACCTAGAAACATAATCAGGTTGAACTGGGATTCGAACCCACAATGATAGGTTTCCGTCATGTCCAAGGGACGCAACTCTGCACAGAGAATTGTGGCACCTTACATGACAAGGCCACACATACCCCAATAAACCTACAGACAATTAATCGTCATCACAAACGTTAATTAACAACCAACAACTACTTCTTTCAATGTCCAACTTAATCTATTGGTTTCATGACAGTAATAGTAGTGATGGTGCCACTCCGTGTCTGTCCTACCTGCAGTGGGGGACCTCATCACAGGTGCCGGCGCCGTGGGGGTCGGGGGCTTGACCAGGGCACTGCTGACCGGCACTGCGGTGGGGGTCATGGCTTGTGACGGGGGTAGGTCATACTTCTGTAACTGCAGCAGGTACGCATCAGCGGTGGGCACAGAGCCCCAACAGACCTCCAGCGTGTTGGTGCTGGCACGTACAAGCTGAACACGAGACGGTGCTGGTGGCTTTTCTGTTTACAAAACACGATGTGTAAGACTCGATGACAATAAAACATGTAACATTGATTGATTGTTGTAAAAAAGGTGTCCAGTGATACAGATCATAAGATGACTTCAGTTTACATTGAAAATACTTGGACAAAAACAAAACATATGAAAACAATTTCAGCTGTTGAAATAAAAATGACCTGATATATATTAATTATTTGAATATTGTCATCCACATAAGTATACCAAGACTACACCAGTGTTAAAAAGATTAGCTTATCGTGTATGCATACCTGTCTCTAAGAACCACAGGTCTTTGAAGCAGACCTGTAAAAATAATCATTCATATGTTAGAAATAGCCTAAAATATTACAAAACAAAAAACAAACAAAGCAAACCACACAGCGAGTCAAATTACTGTGATATAAATTATTCAGTATCTTCTTCAAAAAACAATATTTCCATCTGTAACCATGACAACTGTCAAAATATCGAAGTGGCCAGATGTCATTCATTGTATTAACGCAGAAAAAGAAAGTCTCTATATGGATAAATTGGTGAATAAAATCAAGACCACTGACAACTTTTATCCCCAGCAACAATTCTGACAAATCCCCATTCCACCCACCTGATTATTCCAAGCTTTCCGGTAGCCGTCTCGCCCACTCCAGATGTAGAGACGTGTGTTGATGGCAACACTACACTGACCCGCCCGGGCACGGGGGAGGGCATCTTCAAACACCTCCATAGCCAGAGGCTCCCATGTCATCAAATCTGTAACACAGTTATTCCCTGTTGAAAAGGGAAATTGGATTGCGTGTGTATTATTTTTCGAATTTTTTTTATAGGATGTTTCTTTCAAGTATACATGAACATATATAATCACAGTACAATAGATAAATAATAAAGCAAAGTTCATATCAAAGATAGTACAATAGATAATAGTGAGTGAGTTGGGTTTTACGCCGCTTTTAACAGTATTCCAGTTATATCACGGCGTGTCAGCTTAATGTGGGAGGAAAGCCCGAAGTGATGCAGGTCTCAGACGTTGACCACTTCGGTGAAACCCACGAGCACGGGTATGGTGCTGACAAACCTAGAAACATAATCAGGGCGAACCGGGATTCGAACCCACAATCATAGGTTTCCGTCATGTCCAAGGGACGCAACTCTGCACAGCGAATCGCGGCGCCTTAGACGACTGGGCCACCCGTGCCCCCCAATAGATAATAGTTACAAAATGTGTCGACTTTGTAAGTACACTTCTAGAGATGAATCAATGGATCTATACAATGGTTATTATTGCTTCTGTACCATGTCAGTCAGTGTATGATATGTCGCAGTGATCAGTTTTCCAGCAATACAGCAAAGCATAAAAATGAAAGTGTGAGAATTACAGAAAGTATGAACTTTCAAGTGAGTGAGTTAGGTATAACGCTGCTTTGGACAATATTTCAGTTGTCAGCTTGATGTGGGAGGAAAGCCTGACTCTTTGTAGATTCTCAAGTAATTATTTGCATTATTTAAACTGAATCATGACTTGGTTTGTCTTTGGTTTTTGCTATTTTTAAAAATTAATAATGCCAGGTAACTTTGAAGATGGCAATATTTATTGGTCACCTCCCGACTGTCTTGTTGCAATTCTATTTTTTTCAAAGAATACTTTTTTCGTCACAAAACTATAGAAATGTTATGTTTATAAGAGGGAAAAGCTTGAAAGTCAAACAGCTTTGACGCAATAGTTACCTAAATGTAGGGATGCCAGTGTGTTTGTGCACTTCCATTCTTTTTCATGTGTAGCAACCTTGACATCGTCCATGACCAGTGGGACCCATCCCCCAAACACAAACATCCTGTTTCCGATGACCGTGGCTGTGTGGAGACTCCGGGGCAGAGGTGGGATTCCCTGCACGACAGGCTTCGTCCACGTCACGGTGTCTACAACAGACATCATACAATGCAACATTCTGTTATTATTGACATGGAGCACAGCTTGTGAATCCCCAAGTCTAAACTTAATGTTCAAGATGGCATTCACTTCATCTAGTTTGTTGTTTAATGTCATACTCAGCAGTATTCCAGCTATATGAAAGCGGCCTGTAAATACTTGAGTCTGGACCAGACAATCAAGTGATTGACATCATGAGCATGGATCCACGCAATTGGGATACAATGACATGCATCAACCAAGTCAGTGAGCCTGACAAGAAGAAACAAATGAAATTGAAAAGGCACTCACAAAATAACACTTTAAACCCGGATGGAAACAAGGACACTCACATTTAAAGAAGCTTAAAAATAATGGGACACTTCAATATTTTTGGGGGAAACAATTACTACAGACAGCATTTGTACTAATTTGATTAAGGTTTTCTGATTGCTAGCATGGTTGCTGAAACGTCATTTTCAACATGAATGAATATTTACAATGCAGAGGGGGGGAATAGTATATAGAATTTTGTTTCAACTGCGCTGACCAAGACATTTCAGGCATCCCACATCCACCATGAACGTACCCACATCATACTGCCACAGGTCACCGAGTCTGCACCCGCTCATTCCTCCATATATGAACAGTCTGGAGTGGCGGCCATCTTTTGTTGCATATGATGCACACGAGTGGCTCTCTCTCGGGGGCGGAGGCTGGCCCACAGTCACTGGTAAATCCCAACCCATCTGGCTAGAGTTTGGTTTCAGCTCCAAGGCATACAGATCATTCAGGTATCTGAAGAAAATTATCCATGAGTGCATGAGACTTACACCAAACGAAAGCATTATCACAGCATTTCTTACAAAGATTTAAAAGTTTGGAAGTGTTAGAACAAAGATTCAACCCCTGAGGCAATCAACCTTATTGATGATATCTAACATCTTTGAATCTCAAGAACTCTAAGAAAGTTGAGAAATGCAAATGACTATATCTGAAAAAGTAGTAGGTACAGGTTTAGTGTTAATTTGTGTAAAACAACTACACATATAATTACAAACATATGAAATAATGTTTCTATTGCCATTACACAACTCTTGAATACTCATGTTAAAACAAAACATGTTTCGTGTTGACAAAAATGTGATTACAAATCTCATGAACATGTTTCGTGTTGACAAAATTGTGATTACAAATCTCATGGACTAAAATTCAACATTTAATTAACTAAAATACTAACAATTTAAACAAGGGCATGATATGTTTTCGTACCTTGGAATATTATTTTTAGGATCTTCACTGTCATTTGCAAGACCTCCAAAAAGCCAAGCCCTGTTACCAAGCAAAGTGAAGCTGTGACCTAGAAAACAAACAATTCCATGAATTACAGCATCTACTTTGTAGATTACGAGAAAGAAATCAAATTAACATTGAAATCAAATGACAACAATTTATTCAGAAATATGTTTTCTCAGATATAATTTTTTTTTATCGTTTATTTACACTTACATTACTCTTAACTAAAAAACGACAGTTGGCAAGATGAAGATGTTTACCCAATCTGGGACACGGCGGCGGCCCATTTTTAGGCGGCTTTGGTTTGAGTCGTTTCCATTCCCATCTGCTGGCTTGAAGTTCATACAATTCGTTTGAGTATTTCCCATATTCAACCATTCCACCAAAGACCAGTATCCGTGTGCCATCACAAACAAAGCCATAAGCTGCACAGCCAGGAGGAATATCTCCTCTCACAGCAGGCACAAACCACTGATTTGTAGCTGAAACACAAATGAACAGTAATGGTCCTATTACATACAGGTTCAGGAGTATATTGTCATGCAAGCAATGCTTTTGGTTATACTTTGACTTTACACAAAGTTTCTTTTAAAAGTGTAAGAATACCTAATGATGAAGGTGGTGTATGCCAAACAAAATCAGTGTGACAGTTGCTGAATTAAGTGTCAAAGGGTATTTGTTCCTGAAGTGAAATTGTTCCTTTGTACTCTTTCCCATGAAGCAGTTTTACAAATTTCCCATGATACATTTACACTGTCATTTCCATGTGGAACTGATCATCGTTGACATGAACTGCGACCTTGCTGAAATTTTGTTTCATGATTGTAGTGAAACTAAAATCACTAAGGATGTGCGCACATGATTTAAACGGTTTGAATTACTCAAATACATTGAAAACAGATATTATTAAAACAGCATAACACCAACAATATTTACCTGACCTAATTAGATATTTCAAAAGTGTGCAATGTTACAATGACTTCTTTATACTGTGCAATCAGAAAAAGTCATTTACAACAGCTGTTCCAACCACTGACTGCTGTTTGGAGTTATCGGAGCTGCTTGAAATCCAGCAGGTGTCCCCGCCTCCCTATGTCATTTACATAATTTATTCAAATAGCTCCGAACCAGATGATACTAATATTTTAGTACTTTAAAATACAGAAAATTTAGAAACAATATTCAACTTGACAATAAAATCAATCTTTCAATATTGCAACTCTAAAAGTGCAATGGTTGTTCGGTGCAAAAGTATAATGTTAGTGTGAGAAAGTCAAATCTCGTTGCCCCGATATCTAAACACTGGCTGTCAACCGTGCGCCGCCATTTTCTTTTGAGAACACCGCTCAACGGACAAAAAATCAATGTTAACAAAATGTTTACAGCACATCATAGACTAAAAACTAGCACAGCTGTTAGGCAACACCGCAGAGCACCTAAAGAATAAATTTTACAGTAATGATCACCCGTACTAACGCCCGAATTCACATTTATTTACAGCCCCTGAGTGTGATATAGGGCGCCGCCATCTTGGTATTTTGCTTGACGCCAAAATTTTAGTTACTGCACAAAAATTGACAGGGGCAAATCTCTAATGCGACATTAGCAGAGAAAGATACATTTTTAAAATCCGACCTGAAACATTAAAGAAAACACGTGACTGTCAACATTTTCTAGCATGGCGCCAAATTTTCCAAACCCACAACAATAAGCCGCCATTTTGTGGGATCCATGGGTTTGACAGCTAACTTACTTGTGTTGTAAACATGGAGTTCGTCAACGATTCCTTCGTTACCACCACCAAAAACTATCATCAGATCCTTGATTGCAACTGCACGATGGCCATGCCGCGGCCTAGGAGCTGGCCCTGTTGTGTTCGTTACCCGCTTCCACTTCAATATGGGTGCCGCCATATTGAATATTACCCAAAATGCCGTATCAAACAACGCAAGTGCCCGGACGTAAAAACAAAATTTGCATATCACATGACCTCCTCCTCATTAATAAATGAATACTAATTAATTAGCTCAAGACCGCTTGATATGATTTTGTAAAATAGCCTCCAAAATAAACAATCCAAACATTTTTGTGTACCGATTGTGATTGTTCAACTAAGGAAGTCCATGGTCCTTTGCAATATCTATTTAGCTGACGGAAGTTGCCTCCCTTTTTATGAAATGACATTGAGGACATATACAATTTAAGGTTGAAAGTATTCGAGTTGACCCCACGTGACTCCGACATTTACCATGCCTTGCTTGTAAGATGACATTTGTTGCTCAGAGAATTCTTGACGGATAATCACTTTGGCAGGTAATATGGAGGCTTGGATTTTTATACTGCCGATGTAATGTATTGTTACACATGTCAGTGCTTAGATAGAACATGTGCAGAGGTTGTCAAACTGCATTTTGATGACAATTTCGAAGGTGTACATGTTATCAGCTGGTTATCAGTAGGACTAGATCTAGGAAGTCTTTTCCACAGAATTTTAGTGAATCGTTTTCGTTTGATTTTTAAATATGGCAACTCGCCAGTGCGCATAAAACACGTATTCTCGTTGTGTAGTGTCAGTGTTAGAAGTTATTTATGGGTAAGCGTCAATACATTTGTCGAAAAGGTTAATATCATTTAGTTTTTGACATATTCCCCTCTTTGCCCTTTGAAACACAGCCCCTTTTGCAGGATAGTGATATTACTGAAACACCGGAGCCACATATATATACTTATGTTTATAAATATTGGACCGGTGTTCAGTAATATAACTATCCTGCTTCAGGGGCCTGTGCTTTGAACATAATGGTATCAATGTTTTGGCATACTAGTGCATTTGGGGCATGTTATGGGGCGCATGTCTACAAGTACGTAGAGCTAGTCATGATGCAAACCGGCACTAGCCCATGTTAGTTAGTCTAATGTTATAGTTATCCCAAAGGCTGGTAAAATTTAAGGCTGTTGAGGGATTGTCCTTATATACTTATATGTTATCACTGTTCAGGCTTATAAAATATCGGTAAATTCTGCCCTAACCCCTACCTCTATTAAATAAAACAACTGCTAGAAATGTTTAAAGATTATTTATTTAGGGGTTACAAGCAGAACTCTTTATTAAAATGCTTCAGGTTAGGAGTCACGATCAACTGATGATTTGTTTGGACCTTTGTAGGATAAGGGGTTGATTAGATGTAGCAGACTGTTCGGGTTAAAGGGCAAGTATGTCGACTTTGGGTGTTTTAAATCATGCATAAAATAATTTCTGAGTATGATGTCACACCTTCAGTTCATGCACGATGCAATTCCCGAACCAAAAAAATAGTGCTCTGTCAGCAACCCAAACGCTGCACACAGAATAACTGACTATTAGAGGCAAATTGAAGAGAAAGGTTGTGTTTTTCCTACAGATGTGTTACAAATACTAATTGCCAGCCAATATTTATCACAGCCTAGATTACAATATAAATACATGTATGCCACATGTTTGGCTCGAAGAAGCCTACCCTGTCCTACCCTGTTACTTGCAGCCATGCTCATACCTCTGTCACATCTTACACTATCCATTCAAGATATTGCATATGCTTTTTCATCTGTTTCATTTTTAACGGGTCTGCACATTTAGATAAACATGTCATGAAATGATTACATTTCATAGAGAAAATTTCCTTTAAAACCCCCCAACTCTTTCCATTTGTGATTTATCTTCCACATGCTGTCATCGAGCCCTTCAGAGAGCTAGCAAAACAGTCACTTTGTTGTGTAAAACTACATTGCTATGCACCTCAGTATGCAGTTATAGATGCATGTCTATCATTTCTATGTAATCATGCAAAACAATATGTAAAGTGCACCGAAAGGTGTGCATTAGGCCTGTCTGTCCGTATTTCAGAATAAGTGCTTTTGTTTACAAGCAAGAGAAAAGTTTGGTCACATGATAGCCTACCGACTGTTCCTTGTAAACTTAGTCTTGTCGAGGGGGCATGGGTGGCCCAGTCGTCTTAGGCGCCGCGATTCGCTGTGCAGAGTTGCATCCCTTGAGCACGCTAGAAACCTATGATTGTGGGTTTGAATCCAGGTTTGTCCCGATTATGTTTCTAGGTTTGTCAGCACCATACCCGGCTCGTGGGTTTCACCGAAGTGGTAAACGTCTGAGACCCACATTAAGCTGACACGCCGCGATATAACTCGAATACTGTTAAAAACGGCATTAAACCCAACTCACTACAGTCTTGTCGTATTGAAATATTATGTCATGCTTTAAATTAGTGCTGGGATGGGTAACTTGGATACTCTGGTTGGATGGGTACTGAGTAGGACCTGGGTACCCACATGACCTCCTAGACCCATGGTTTGTCACATTATATTGTTATATGAAAATAAATTCCCTACAACTCCATGGTTACTATACAGGTCACTGTTGTTCGCATTTCTTTCTATGTACGCATGCCTTCTGACTGTTATTTGGCCCAGTCGTCTAAGGCGCCGCGATTCGCTGTGCAGAGTTGCGTCCCTTGGGCACGCCAGAAACCTATGATTGTGGGTTCGAATCCCGGTTCTCCCCGATTATGTTTCTAGGTTTGTCAGCACCACACCTGTGCTCGTGGGTTTCACCGAAGTGGTAAACGTCTGAGACCTGCATCACTTCGGGCTTTCCTCCCACATTAAGCTGACATGCCGCGATATAACTGGAATACTATTAAAAGCGGCGTTAAACCCAACTCACTCACTCACTCACTCTGACTGTTATTAGACTAACACTTTGGAATCAAGCAAACTAGACTTAGTTAGTTTGATCTAGACTTGTCTAGGCTTTAAATAAAAAAATTACCTAAAAAACAAATTCCACAGTCATGGTGGAGGACTAGACTGTCATATTTGAGAAAAGATAAAGCTTCTGTCAACTTCAGTGATGCATGATCAGATTGTTTTATACATGTATCTGAATAGTTTTTGCCAGGGCTCCGGTAAAACGATTCCTAATGAGACATTTTGTACCACACTCTTGAGACCTACAGTGGGTACCCGGGTAGGGTATCTGGTGATGGGTACCTGGGTGGTAGATTACTGTGGTGGAAAATAATTAAAATTGACCATGCCCTTCCTTGGTGTCCATTCACGATACTTTATAAACATTTCACTTTATAGTTAAACATAGTTTAGATTCTTTAGAACTTGAAGGTAATTCGTCTACATCTATGTAGAGGGGGTCGTGGGGTAGAGCTCGATGAAAGAGCAGCAACTTTCCTTGGACATCGTTTGAAGCACTGATTGCTAAAATGTGCCCATGTGTGTTCTTGAGAAGGGCTGATTGTTGAAAGGCCCGTGTGGGTGGTCTTTTATAAGAAGGCGGTGGGGTAGCCAAGTGGTTAACAATGGTTAAAGCGTTCACATATCACGGCGAAGACCCAGGTTCGATGACCCACATGGGTACAATGTGTGAAGCCCATTTTTGGTGTCCCCACCTTGATATCGCAGGAATATTGCTAAAAGTAGCTTAAGACCACGCTCACTCACTCACTCACTGGTGAAAAGCCCCCCCATGGGTGTTCTAGTGAATGGCATCTTAGAGAAAGGCCCCCAGGGGTGTTCTAGTGAATGCCATCTTAGTGAAAGGCCCCTGTGGGTGTTCTGGTGAATGCCGTCTCATTGAAAGGCCCCCGTGGGTGTTCTGGTGAATGCCGTCTTAGTGAAAAGCCCCCGTGGGTGTTCTGGTGAATGCCATCTCAGTGAAAAGCCCCCGTGGGTGTTCTGGTGAATGCTGTCTCAGTGAAAGGCCCCGTGGGTGTGCTGGTGAATGCCGTCTCAGTGAAAGGCCCCCGTGGGTGTTCTGGTGAATGGTGTCTTAGTGAAAGGCCCCCGTGGGTGTTCTAGTGAATGCCGTCTTAGTGAAAGGCCCCTGTGGGTTTTCTGGTAAATTCCGTCTCAGTGAAAGGCCCCCATGGGTGTTCTAGTGAATGGTGTCTTAGTGAAAGGCCCCCATGGGTGTTCTAGTGAATGGTGTCTTAGTGAAAGGCCCCCTGTGGCTGTTCTAGCGAATGGTGTCTTGGTGAAAGGCCCCCATGGGTGTTCTAGTGAATGGTGTCTTAGTGAAAGGCCCCTGTGGGTGTTCTAGTGAATGGTGTCTTGGTTAAAGAACCCCGTTGGTGTTCTAGCTAATGGTGTCTTAGTGAAAGGCCCCTGTGGGTGTTCTAGTGAATGGTGTCTTGGTTTAAGGCCCCTGTGGGTGTTCTAGCTAATGGTGTCTTAGTGAAAGGCCCCTGTGGGTGTTCTGGTGAATGCCGTCTTAGTGAAAGGCCCCCATGGGTGTTCTAGCAAATGGTGACTTAGTGAAAGGCCCCCCATGGGTGTTCTGGTGAACGGTGTCTTAGTGAAAGTCCCCCTGTGGGTGTTCTAGCGAATGGTGTCTTGGTGAAAGGCCCCCATGGGTGTTCTAGTAAATGGTGTCTTAGTGAAAGGCCCCTGTGGGTGTTCTAGTAAATGGTGTCTTAGTGAAAGGCCCCTGTGGGTGTTCTACCAAACTGTGTCTTAGTGAAGGCCCCTGTGGGTGTTCTGGTGAATGCCGTCTTAGTGAAAGGCCCCCCCATGGGTGTTCTAGTGAACAGTGTCTTAGTGAAGGCCCCCGTGGGTGTTCTAGCAAATGGTGTCTTAGTGAAAGGCCCCCATGGGTGTTCTAGCGACTGGTGTCTTAGTGAAAGGCCCCCTGTGGGTGTTCTGGTGAACGGTGTCTTAGTGAAAGGCCCCCTGTGAGTGTTCTATGGTGTCTCAGTGAAAGGCCCCCCGTGGGTGTTCTGGTGAATGGTGTCTTAGTGAAAGTCCCCCTGTGGGTGTTCTAGCGAATGGTGTCTTAGTGAAAGTCCTTCTGTGGGTGTTCTAGTGAATGGTGTCTTAGTGAAAGGCCCCCTGTGGGTGTTCTGGTGAACGGTGTCTTAGTGAAAGGCCCCCTGTGAGTGTTCTATGGTGTCTCAGTGAAAGGCCCCCCGTGGGTGTTCTGGTGAATGGTGTCTTAGTGAAAGTCCCCCTGTGGGTGTTCTAGTGAATGGTGTCTTAGTGAAAGTCCTTCTGTTGGTGTTCTAGCGAATGGTGTCTTAGTGAAAGGCCCCCTGTGGGTGTTCTAGCGAATGGTGTCTTAGTGAAAGGCCCCCTGTGGGTGTTCTAGTGAATGGTGTCTTAGTGAAAGTCCCCCTATGGGTGTTCTAGCGAATGGTGTCTTGATAAGAGGCCCTCATGGGTGTTCTAGCGAAGGGCATCTTAAAGAAAGGCCCTCCATAGGTGTTCTAGTGAATGACTGCTTGCTGAGGGGTCTCTGTAGGTGTTACAGTGAATGACTGCTTGGTGAAAGGTCCTCTAGGTGTTCTAGTGAATGGCTGCTTGCTAAAACATCCTGTGGGTGTTCCAGTGAATGAGCGCTTGCTGAAATGTCCTGTGGATGTTTCAGTGTTTGGCTGCTTGCTGAAACATCCTGTGGGTGTTCCAGTGAATGACTGTTTGCTGAAACATCCTGTGGGTGTTCCAGTGAATGGCTGCTTGCTGAAACATCCTGTGGGTGTTCCAGTGAATGAGTGCTTGCTGAAACATCCTGTGGGTGTTCCAGTGTATGAGTGCTTGCTGAAACATCCTGTGGGTGTTCCAGTGAATGAGTGCTTGCTGAAACATCCTGTGGGTGTTCCAGTGAATGACTGCTTGGTGAAAGGACCCCATTGGTAATCAGTGAATTGCATTCTAAAAGGCAAGATATTTAAGATCATAATACTCAGCAAATTTAAGATAGCTTAGGAGTCAGTTTTCAAATGCAGTGAGTCTAGTCAACATTTCAAGAATATTTTAGCCCTGTGACGGTTATTGATGGACGAAACCAAATCACTGATCAGTTCAATGATTCTTTTCACATAAGTTTTTCTTACTGTTGCCTCATGTAAAAGTTTGGAAAAATAGCTTGTCATTAGTGGAAAGTATTTTGTTGTGATCTTCTTTCAAGGACTGGAGTTCATGGCTAGTACAGTTGTGCTGATATTTTCTCCTAGTTACTGAACGAATCTTCTTGTCATTGCAGGTTTGTCTGTTGTGTGAAGAGCTGATTAGGAGGATATTTTGGCAATTCGTGTCTCTGGTTCCAAGATGGCGATACTATGGAAAGCTCTTGCGTCAGTCTCTTTGTTCACTGTCATCCTAGCGGCCATAATTTACAACGGATTCTTTGACTCTGTGCTCATAGAGCTTGGCTTTCAACATTATGCAGAGAAACCAAGCAATTTCAACATGTTCTTCCCGTCGTTTGTGAAAATGCCGTTGAACACGGCTGTCAATGTTGGTTATATTTTTCTTGGAGCTTATTGGTGTGCCATAACAACTATATGCAGGGAAAACAATGTCATCAATGACTTCGATGCGTTCATCTTCTACCTGTTCAATATAATGGCCGGATTCTACGGGGCTGTCCAAGCATTACGCATCATCACACAAATTCATGGATTCGGTGTCATGGATCAGTGGAGTACTCTCCCTTTCTTCATGGTCGTTGTCATATGGGGAATATACACCAAGTGGGGATGGAATGTACCTTTATTCTTATTTCTTATAATAGTATCATTGGCCTCCTACAGCCTGACACTGTTTACGCCAATCGGATTTGAGATAGCACTTGGAATCCATGTCGTGCTGGCTGTTACAGGTGCTTTGATTGGATATTCCAAGTACCCCTGTAGGAATGCTAGGCATTACTTTGTTTTGGCCCTGCTGTCGTGTGCTGGGTTTATAGGTCTGAAACTCCTGGATTTTGAACTGGTGAAATACCATGAAATCTTCAATAAGGTTTCTGGACATTTTCTCTCTAAAATTGCTGATATTATGCAAATTCATTACGTGAATGAATATTTCCGTAGTCTAGTCATACAAAGATTTTTGTTGCAGAAGGCTAAAAAAGGTAAAAGTGATTAAATTATGTCGGATGGATTTTACATATGTTACCATGGTTACTTGTGCAGGCCTTCAACAATATTGAACATGTTCGAGTTAAGGTTAGTGTTATCATCAACATGAACAATTTGACTTGGAATTTGAATCTGCAATAAAGTGACAGATTTGTATTTACTGGCTTTGGCCAACTTAATATGTTTTTTGCATTTTGTCATGGCTTCATAAATCTAAAAAGTCTCTTGGGGGGAGAAAACAGACATGAACCAACCTTTTGATTTGGAGCCTCCAAGGTCTGGTATACATGTACATTGTTAATAATTGTATGTGTGTAACCATGGTAACACACATACTTCAAAACAGGATTCCAATCTTACCAAGAATGTTCTAGTGCTTTTGAAACAATCGCTTTAGATGTGAAAATATTAAGTGCTAGGGCGATTCACCAATACATTAATGTATCAGGATGGCGATACAATGTCATTAAAATCAGATCTTAGTTCTCGCTACCGCTAAACCAAGATCTCAGGACATCTCATTTCAGAACGACCTTTCATCCAACCAATCAGACTCTCTTACTAGATGCTTCAATGGAATAAATATTTGAACGGAAGAGACTTTGCATAGCCCATGAGAAGTACTGCCATACAATCTCAGCCATCTATTAGACGTTCCAGAATGCTCTTTGTTCTGTTTCAAATTTTGAATCTAGAACTTTGTCAAAATATTCTCAAAACATAGTCCGGAATGGAAATTGACAGTTTGAAACTGGTGCTATATAGCTTGAAACAATCTCATTAAAATCAGACCTCAGTTCTCGCTACCCCAAAACAAAGATCTAAAGACATCCCATTTGGGGTCACGTCAGAACGTCCTTTCATCCGACCAATCAGAGCATCGCTTACCAGATCATGAAAGTGACATTCGGAATGTGATTTCTGATCATACAACCTCAAAAACTTTAGCGATAGTTTCAGGTTAACGACTGAATCCATACAATCTAGACCATCTATTAGACATTCCAGAATGTTCTTTTATTTAGGTTTCAAATTTGTAATCGAGAATTTGTCAAAATATTTTGCGAAGCGTAGTAGCCAATTTGAAATTAGTGCCTTAAAGCACGAGAAAGCTGCCTTCTGATTGGTCATTCCATTGGTCAGTCAAAGTTCGCCCAAGGTCGGTCTGACGTGACCTGTAATGGGATGTCCTCAGATCTTTGTTTAGCGGTAGCGAGAACTAAGATCTGATTTTAATGAGTTTGAACTTCAGAAAGCTGCTTTCTAAATCATAATGGCTAATGTCAACTTCTTGTTAATCATTTCATTGGTCAGTCAATATTGTTGAAGGTCGTTGTTTAGGGATAGCGAGAACTAGGATTGGATTTAAATGAGATTGCGTTTGATATGACTGGATGGTAGGTTGATGTTGGATATGAAACTGTTACTTGGGTACAAGTGTGATTGGTATTTGCCTGTTTAGTGTCTGTTCACAGTAGATTTCAGTATATCACTGTATTTTTCAGTGTTTGTCTGTGTGTCATCATGTTTGTCAAATTTTCACACAAATAATTTTGGTTATATTCAACTTGATCATCCACCGGTGACCACTGTCATTCTTTCTGTACCATTATCAGGATATGTATCGTATCATGACTATCAACCCAGCCTCAATATTCATGCACATCTAGTTAATGCTTTAGTCATGTGTTTTATATGTTGGTTTATTGATTTATGTAGGCAATTATTCCATGGTTCATAGGGCAAAATTATTTTCAAGGTTCTTGCTCATTTTCAACAAACTGATATTGATTTGTTCTGATATATCTTTTTGTAATATGAACCCTAACTAGTCAAATGTATTGGCTCTTGGTATGATGTATCTTACAACCCTGATTTTCAGACTTAATAATATTGCCATGACTATTCATGCTGATATTGATGGCACACTGATGTTTCTATGAAAGAAATGTGCTGTCTAGAGATATATCAATGAACGAGGCCTCCCTCCTTCATGCTGTAAGCAGTGACAAGAAGACCACTCAAAGCAATGAATATTTGGCCACATTTCTTGCTTAGGCCACATTTGTTGGTTTACAAAAAACTTGCCTAAAATTTGATGTTGGAGGGGAGGGAGGGGGTGATCATTTTCAACTTCAGTTTATTAGCGGTACAAATGAATGAAAACAAACAAGTTTTAACATGCAAGACACTGAAGGATAAATGGGTTTTTTTGGTGTTTTTTTATATGAATTATTCAACATTTCTTATGAACATGATAAAAATGTCCTGTTTTTGTTTTTTTTCAATTCTCCTATTTGTAAAACAGGACGAAAAAAAAGTTTTGTTCAAAAGTGATTTTTTTTCATGTTTATTTTTCTTTCCAATTTCAGTTGTGTTCTTTTGTCTGTTCGTCTTGTAAACCAGCTATAGCGATATGTCTTATGGTATCAGATCCCATGCCATCCGTGTATGACCGTCACTATCATGTACTTATTACAGACCCTCCACCATGTCCAGTGACAGTATTATCATTATTTCAGTGAAATATATCTCCCACCTCCCATGTACCATGATCGATTAGCATGGGTAGTTTAATGTGATATCGCTTTACTCTCGCTACGTCCGTATGTAACGCTTGCTTTACTATGCCACTGTTGTTACAAGCTTGGGGATCATGTCATGGATACATATACAATAGTGCTGAAGTGATATTTCAAAAAAGAATTTAACAAGGATAGCCATTTACTTTTTTTTATCTTTATTTAGTTTTATCACGGTTATATAGGTCCATGGTTTTATGTGTTCAAAATTGATCAATTTACATTAAGCACCCACTAAATTTTTTTATTTAATTTTTTAAATAGTATACAGCATATGACACTATAAATGTACATTATTTCTTTTACATAAGCAAATTTACATTTTATCTTTCAAAGACTAAGTTATGTAGTAAGGATAAGAATTTTGGATGAACAACTTCTTTATTTCAATTAAGAGCGATGTTTCGGTGTAGGTTCTAACACGGTTATCAAGCAAGTTACGACCACGTTGACCTGAACATGAGCCATGATGACCTGAAGGCGAAATCTAAGCATCAAGATTATATACCTCAACTGAGTGAATAGCATGAAGGAAATTGAACTCAGTCCGTTAACTTAGCTTACTGCCTGTGAGACGGTTCCTATAATCCTCCATTGTTTTACCAATCAACAAGCTTCATTGGTTTGCCCAGCTTTTGGCACAATCGGAGGAGGCAAGATTTACATCATCCGTACCTTCGTGATGTCTTCGTATTTGGCGATATCGATGTAGCTATACATTTTGAAAAATAAATAATTCACTTCTACAGAAATGTTTACATTTAACATTACTATGCTTCATATATTTACAATGACAAGGCAGAAAATTAAATGTTAAACATCTGATGGATCAGCATTGTTCCTATTTAGCATGAAGTTGATTAATTGGAGGTCTAGATGAAATTTATGTCTACACAAACAGGAAAACTACTTTTGTTATTAATTGACATATCTTGATATTTTGAGTCAATGTATCTACACTATACTCTCGTATCCTGATACCCCTACCGTACCCAAGGTTCTTTTGAGTTTTAACTATGTAAGTTTGTGAAATGGTGGCTTTTTCGGAATACTGCCAGGTTGAAAAATCCACTGGTCCGAGGTCCCAGACCAGTACATTTATTGATGGGACCAAATAACAAACACAGATAGAGCGAACAAGCGGATACAACAAACTGTTACAAAATCCCCCATATCTCCTCTATATAATCCTATAAAATGTACATATATAACAAACTCTCTACAGCGTACTAACGTACATAGCAAATTGATGTTTGATCCCCTCAAGCCCAAAAACCACTAAGTTGCCAGTCAGCAAAACATGAAATGCTAAATACATATTTGATGAACAATATTCTGAAATTGTTATGAATTTAATGTTATTAAATGAATGTTATTAATTGAATGCTGTGAAGTGATCACTGCTAAGACAAGTCAATGCTGCAGTTACGTGTATTGTGTTTTGTTTTATCCAATATGGCGAAAATGTACATGATTAACCAGGTATATAACAAACTGATTTCTCTGGTCCCTTGTGGTTTGTTATATCCATGTTCTACTCAAAAAGGTACAGTGGAAAAGTCGATTTCATTCACCGGTGATACAGAAAAGTCCGGATTTGGTCTTGCCTTGCCTACCTTCAACATTGCACATACATGAACCTGCAGGAAGTTAACACATCAATAAACTAACACTGAGTCAGTCAGTCAGTCACGGACAAGGGGCAGATGCTAGGTTTTAAATATCATCTGTGTTGTGGATGATTTTTTGGTATAAACACTGAGCATGCGAAGTATTCACAGAATATCTTGGTATGTGTCACCATGGTTACCTGTCGGCGGACAAAATAAGTGTTAATTTGGATTGTTATATTTTGCGTTTTGATGAAAATGGAGTTCGTGGATATGTGATTTGATAAATGAAAAAGTAATGGCTTGCCTGTAACTCTCCATCACTCACTACCAACCTGTTTGTGTTGAATGTTTCAATCTCGGAAGTACATTGTGCTCAATCCTACATGCTATTCTGCCAATTGGGGCTGTGGGGTAGGCCAGTTTTAAAGCGTTCGCTCATCACGTCAAAGACCCAGGTTTGATTCCCTACATAAGTGCAATGTGTGAAGACCATTTCTGGTGTCCCCCACTGGGATATTGCTAAAGGTGGCACAAAACTATACTCACTTAGCTCATTATTCTCCCCTACACAGTCTAGTCTTTTTGTGTAAGATATTCAGGTCAGTGTTTTTGTATGTTTTGGAGAGTCTGAAATGATGAGCAATACATTTGACATTGAATAATTTATATACATTTGTTCACTCTAGGATGCATCATTGCGCCAGTGACCCACTCAATTTTCAAATTGCACTGATTTCAATTACGAAAGGGCCATGATGGCGCTCTGTTTTTTAATTAATTCAATGGATGGATTTAATTGGATGGAATTTGTCTATATGCCACAGGGGCAGAGGGGTAGCCTAGTGGAAAAAGTGTTTGCTCGTCACGCCGAAGACCGGGGATCCATTCCCCACAAGGGTACAATGTGTGAAGCCCATTTCTAGTGTCCTACCACTGTGATATTGCTGGAAGATAGCTGAAAGGGGCTTGAAACTCTATTCATACACAATATGACACATATCAACTTAATAACAAGCAACTTAAGGCCATTGAATATTATTGAAAAATCAATAATCATTTTATTTTGCCTCTGCCATTTTCATATTTATTTCAGACAGGCTGCAGGCAAATCATTTTAATAATTTTGTGCAAAGTATGGATTTTTTCATTGATGTTCGGTTTTTTTTTGTACGCATTTAGCAGTTAAATATTTTGTCGGATCATACATTATTGAAAAATTCAATTTTATCTGCGGAAAGTTGGCAAAAGTATAAACTATTATGTTTTGTGCAGTGAGTCAGGACTTGCGGTTTTGGAGGCATTAAATATTTACTCACAAGTTGTCATTCATATTGGGTTTTGAAAGTTTTCTTTGGGCATTGAATATGCTTTTACTCTTCGGTGCAGTCTCTTTCAAGGCCGTAGTTAACTTATTTTGACAGGAGGGGCAAATATTTGTACAAGATCAGTTGTCCCCAACTTGTATTTTCATGATTCAAATAAGACTGTTTTCTATGAAAAATATTTAGTGTCTTTACACCTATGAATAGAAATTTTGAATAATTCTTCTTAGATGCTGTTTCTGGTGACTTCTAATTTGTATCTGTTCGTGTACTGGTGTGTTATGTGTTGCATAAATTCACAACAGCGATATATACGTGTATGTGTGCAATTAAAAATTAATGAGACGTAGTGCCTTGTTTACGCGTTATTGACTGCAGTAGAGTTCATGTAATTCAATCAGTAATTCAAGATCTGTAAAGGAAAACAGGTATGTAAGTTGAAACAGATACATTGGTTAAGACCCGTGAAGATCCGGAGTACAATAGGTCTTCA